TATCGGCATATATTTATTATATACATCAAAGGTATTATTTTCCTACTCTTCATTGATCAAAAGAGAAAAGATGTGAGATTAATCGCAAATCAATGCATGTAAAGTACAAGAGAAAACGTCATCGTTCAACATCTATATGTTTGGTTGATATTTATATCGTAACCGTAAAAATATCATTCGTATGAGAGGCAGAATTTTTCCTAGAAATGCCGTGAAACAAGAAGAATACGACTTTGGAAGGTAGCCACTAAACTAGCCACGCTACTCTACATGCGGCAACGATTGCACCGAGGTCAAGGCACTCGCAAGTTCACCATATCGACGCTGCTTGTATCGTCGACTACCGGCGACATGTTCCGTTCTCCATTTTCTCCCGGAGCATTTTCGAATCTCTTCATCAATGCGCAAATGCGATTGTCAAAGAAACAATCAACGTCGCGCGCCTCTCGTTCGCATCTCGATGATTCTCGATGATGCGACGACTATCGGCGGTTCTCGCGTGAAAGAGAAACGAACGACAACAATCGAGAGGCGGGGAAAGAGTAGGCCAACCGAGCTGCACGCGTTGTTTCGCACTGTGCCAACGGAATCGTTGCGCGCAATCAAGATGGTCGGCAATTTTACCGGTCACGATCAGGCGCGTCGACGAGCAACGGTCCGTGGAGACGGTCCCTCGCGTTCGCGAAGATCGCGGTCGATGGTCCGCGACGGGGGACGAACTTGAAAGACGAAACGCACCACCACGTCGACTGCGACCACCACTATCTACACGTCGTTTCACGATGAGACGACAGACGCAGCGGCGGAGCAGCACACCAGCACCACCACTAGCTACCCCACCGGCGAGAAACGTATTCGCGAACCCGGCGGCTCTCTCCCTTAGCTATACAAGCAGCCGAGACGTCTTACGCGGCTCGTCTTACGAGACGATCGTACGCGTACTTCTTGCCCGCGACGACTCACGGCGACGAAGGTCGCGATCGATCGATACTTTTCGAAAAAGACGCCCCCGCGTGCGACGAGGGGCGAGTGTGGGAGAGACGGTGGAATACGAACCGCGCCACCACCACAACTACCAGCTACCGGCTACACGTCGTTTCACGCGTGGTGCACCGACGGCACCGGCGGCACCAGCGGCAGCACCATCAAAAGGAGAGAGGAGCGCACCGCCGGGACGCCCGGAGAGTCCCGGCTACGCCGTCTCCCTCGCCACCCTTCTCCTTCTATCCTCTCCTCGAGTGACGTCACGGGAATGGAGTCGGGGATCGATCCCGAACCCCGAACGCCCACCTAGGCACCCCCGCATCCTCTCCGTTTCCCGAACGGTACTGACCGGATAGAAAACATTCGACCGTTCTCTCTCGACGACCTCCGGCAACCCCCGGATATACGTATGTACCCAGCCGGCGCCACGCGACGCGAAGGTGCGGAAGGGCGTAATTCCTCGCCGGATGCGGCACCCTACCGGTGCAGCGCGATCTCGCGAAGGGATGAAGCGACGCGCGGGAAAATGGAATAAGGATTAATTAAACAAGGAGAACGCGCGCTTCGTCGACGGGCGAGTTTTACGAAAAACATTATTTTAATGCAAATCGAGGGGATGGAGAAAGTTTGAGACATAATTATTTATTACATTTCCGAAAGAAAAATTGTGTTATCGTATTACTTTCTTATAATTTGGATATTGAACGTACTTTTTTCCTTATTGCTGAAATAAATATAATAGACATGCTTCTTTTCGCAAGAAGAGAAGAAATTTAATTAACGCACAGTATAAATATTTCTTTATAATTAGTATCTTTTTTAGAATAAAGATACTTAAAGAAATTGACAGCTGTATCGTTTTCGAAAAGTATTTTAATTATTTACGACAAGATTTAAACGGTTTATATCAATTATATTCATTAATCTTTCTTTCGGTAAACGTAATATGTTAGTTTGGTATATATATTAGTAGCTTTTTCAAAACACTTAATATATACATCAATAAAATATAAAATGTTAATTTGAAAATTAGTAGAAATATTGTGTGCAGTCGATTGTCGATTTATTTAAATCTACTTGTCGACATAATAAAATAATTAATAGAAATAAAATTGATGTACCAGATAATGTCAGGTCATTGTTTTCTCCTTTACGAGGCCGGAATGCGTTTTGGCACGACTCTCAATTCCAAACACCGAACATTCAAATCTGCATCTGCGGGTCGGTTAATCTGCATAGATATTGCGCCATGCAACGCGCGCGTGGAAATTCGGCAAACTATTCTACTCTTCCCTATCAAGAATTCTTTTGTCCCCGGAAATCGCTTGTGCGCCAATTCGGCGCATTCAAGTGGCATTAAAGGAAAGGTAACGTCCTCGTCCATCATCTTTCATCTCCGATGTTTCGTCGCAAGATTCAGAAAGGAAGCCAACGAAACCGACACTTGCGACGTCTGGGGGAAGTAAAAAATTTTGAATATTTTCAATTAAAAAAAGAATGAAAGAAATCGAGAATATAAAATAATGATTATCATTCTTTTCACACCTTCTTCCAATGATATTTAACGGAAATAAATTTTTGACATACATGTAATTAAACATATTAATTTGTAAAAGAATAATTTGTGTTGTTTTTAAAAAATATAAATTCTCAAACACAAACGAAATTTTTAAACATTATTATTGTATATTAAATCATGTCATTATGATGCTATGTATTTTCAACAGTGGAGCTTGGATAGCAAGTCGTGAAAGCGATGCAGTCGTTCTGTAAAAGTCTCTCGAGAATCAAAGACAACGTCTTTGTCAGGCGGCAAGATTTTCCGCAATGTATATCTAGAGTTGCGCATTTTCCGTAGGTGTATTGTCAAAGCTATAAAATTTTAATATAGCGCAGTATGGCTCGTGGATTTTACATAAACGACCGTGAAGGTACTTGAGGTTGTAGCTTGAGCAAATAAATGGCCATGTAACTCGTATATTACTACGTTTTGCTTTCTACATCTAGTTTTCTTTTTCTTGATATTTATTTATATAGAATCAAATTTTTATAATATTATTTTTCTCAAAATAGTAGCCATTTTAAAATTTATCCGTCGATTTAATTAAGAAATAAAGAAAACATGCAAAAAACGCGTAATATGATGATACATTTCATTAAAAACTGATTATATAAACACAGACGTAATTAAATAAATAAATCATTATCACAAATCTATATATATAATGTACAATGCAAAATTATTATATCGACAACAGGTTTACGCAAAATTTTCTTCCGTGTAGGCGATTCAAAGCATTTCACGACCGGAAGAGCGTGGGTGTAAGAGTGCATTAAAGTCGGTGAAGCGACGTTTTACGCATCGGTCGAACATTTTACACAAGTGCAATGTCAGTGACCCTATTTATTCTAGTCTACAAGAAGAGAACTTTTAATTGTGACTGTTCTGTTCGCCTTGTACAAAGACTATCCAGAGACGTCATTCTCTACCTAGTCTAAAATAATATTATTCTTTTTTGCCTTTATATTTCGATATCTATTTATTTATATCAATTATATAATTATATAATTATATTATATAATTTCATAATCAATATAATTAATATAAATAGATAAAAATAAAATTTTAAAAAAAGAGAGGAAAAAAAACAAGACACGTTGAATTTAAGTCTTTGAGGAATAAGACTCGTTAACCGAATAATTTAAAAGGAAATATTAAAGATGAAATACGCTTTATATAATCGCGAGAACTGTGTCGACAAAGATTGCGTCGGCGAAGATGGTTAATCTGAAAAATTTAGTTAGGCGATGATATTATCTTTGGTTTATCGCGCGTCTTTAAACGATTTAGCGAGAGGTCGACTAAATAAGCGAATAAAATGACGAGAGAAGGGAAGGGTGGATAAAACGCAAGGGCGTAAACACACGAGCAAAATTCACGCGTCTGCGCGGATATTTATGTCGCGAAAGAGATTCCGCAGTAGCCCATGAAAAACGGAAATCCGCGTAAGATCTTTGCGCGTATTAGAGCGTTCCATTCTCTGTACATTTCAAGAGATCCAAGCTTATGTGAGAACGAACGCGATGTGACGCTTGTGCGTTCGTTTCTCTCTCACACCTCCACGGTTTTGAACGTGCTTCAACCCGATACCGCGATCCATTTCTACCCCCTTAAGAGGCTCATTCGAATGCACGGTCATACGCCGTCATGCCGTGCGGTTTGCATCTTGTCTAGACCGAATTACGATCTGCAAAGCGCACTCTCATTCCGGGATTACTCGCCGAAAAAGCGTCCGGTCTATTCTCGCGACTTCCCGTTGATTCAATATGATGATGAATATGAACGATCTCTGTCTCATTTTGACGGAATTCGAATTCAGAATTTACGAGATATAACTAATTATTATTGTTTACGAGATATAACTAATTATTATTTACGAGATGTAACTAATTATTATTGTTTCTCAAGTTGGAATAATTATTTTTCTCAGGCTTTCATATAAGTATTTTTAAAATTTGAAAATTATTATCATTTCCTACAAGATACGAGGGTGGGGTGATAAGTTTCCGGCCTGATAAAGAAAAAAATAGCTTTTTGGATTTTTTTAAATTTTATTTTTCAACACAATCTCCACAAAGATTAATACATTTTTCATAACGGTGTTCTAATGCAGTGATATCAACTTTATAGTACGATTCGTCGAGCTCCTCAAAATACCCATTTCCAGATAGCGATATTATATTTTGAATTAGAACACCGTTATGAAAAATGTATTAGTCTTTGTGGAGATTACGTTGAAAAATAAAATTTTAAAAAATCCAAAAAACTGCCTTTTTCTTCATCAGGCCGGAAACTTGTCACCCCACCCTCGTAGATGCCATTAGAGTAAAATTTACAAACAATACTTTTCATCTAAAATATTATTTGTAATAACTTGGCGTGTTTTATTAATAGAAAAATTAATATATCTTATACGAATGTAAATATATATATGTATATAAAAATTGAGACTCACCCTGCCGTGGTCGTTGACAGCTGCGTTCCTCGCTGTTCCATCGGATCTCGTTGCAGACGTAATGCTTAACGCTGTTTTCACGGCGAGAGATTACGAAAGGATCCTTGGGCGGAGGAGGCAGAGGCCTGTTAGCGTCGTAGCCGACGTCTCGTTGCGGGCGACAAGTTGGATCCGCTGCCCGAGTACCGTACAAAGCGACATCCTGATTCGCGTCGCGTCGATCTTGATGCAAATATCCCGAATCCGTATCCGAGGCGCTGTTTTCGCTCTTGTGTCGCCTGGTAGGCGGTTCGGGTGCCGTGCCATGCTTGGTTGGCCAGCTGCCCGTCGCTAATTCCGGTCCGATCTTCGGTTGATTGGAGAAGCTGACTCTCTTGGGTCCCGCACTACCGTATTCGACCGAGTCTCCTCCTATGAGGCTTCCCCTCTTAAATATCGGATGTGGCGGACGAGGTTTGTCTTCGTTGCCGTCGTTGCTGTCTTCCTCGTGAATCTCGCTAGCTTCCGGTTTCCTCGGGGACCCCGAGACGCCGGTTGTTTCGTTCGCGGCCGGTCTTCTGCATGTCACGTTGAAACTGGCACGCTCGATATCGCCTCTGTGAAAGTGCGGGGAAGCGCTCTTGGATCGTTGCGCATCGTATCCCGCGGGATCCCGCGGATTCATCGCTTTCATCGACATCTCCTGACGATCCCGTAGCGCTTGCTGCGGTCGAACAATCAGCACCGGCTGATTCTGGCCCTTCTGAGTCTGCATCAACGGTAACTTTCCGGTCGGGCTCGTCTTGAGACGTTGCTGCGCGTTGCTCCAGTACGGTCGGTCCCCGTGAACGACGAGACCCGGTACCGTCACACCCTTAGAATGAAATGTCGGATTCGCATTAGGCAACAACAAAGTCGCCACGGGACTTTTCGTTCTCGTCTTGTAGGTTTCGTAGAGTCTGTCTTCCATCGCGTTTCGTTCGTAGATTCGTCGCTGCTGCTCCTCGTCCAATTTCTTCAGCTGTTGCCAATACATCGCTTCTCTCATTTCCGGCAAATCAATTTTCGGCGCGATCTGTCTTGGACCGGAATTTGCCGACGAAACGGCCGACTTCCGATGCGCTTCCAACGCCTTTTGCTGCCAATAAAATGCTTCCAGGTGCTGCCTAGTCTCCCGTTTCGAGGGCGACAATAGCATATATGTCGAAGGACTCTGTTGACCGTACGTTGGATCGGCGATTCGTTGAGCGTGTAAAGGCTCTTGTCGTGCCTGATACTGTCGTGGACGTTGCTCGTAGATCGATTCATGCTGAAGCGAATTTGCACTCGTGTATATTTTATCTTGGTTCGCCGTCGGCGACGATTGTTGATTCGTCGCGAATAAAGTACGTTGTTGACTGGCGTCGTGTTGTCCTTGCTGACAAAAGTCTCCCGTCGATTCACGTACGGGAGATCGATCCGCTCTTCTTCCAGATTCATCGGATACTTGCTTAGCTTCCGACGACTGTAAACGTTGCGGTGGAGAACTCTGATTTTCAACTCGCGTCGCTCTCTCAACGTCGCGGCATGATTCGGTCGAGCTGTACGAACTAGATGGCAATTGATCGTTCTCGCGTCCATCTTCTTTCGTCTCCAAGGTCGTAACGTCGCTCCTATGAAAAGTCTGTTGTCTACGGTGTCCATAAATTGGCTCGGGACGCGAGATGCCTTTCGCGAAGCCGGAAGACGGTATAGTCTTTTGCTCGGTAGATCTTTTCATTCCCGTAGCGGAAGAATTCTGGCTACCGTATTGATGTCGCACTTCAATTGGAACGATGCCAGAAATGCCCTCGCGCGAATCTGCCATGGGAATGGGCGATTCCGCGCCGCGGAGTCTCATCTCGTTAGATGGTCGAGAAACTCGAGACTGACAGATGGTTTCTCTCTTGGGCGAGGCTATCAAGATTTGATCATTTGGTTGTGATCTTCTGGCTCGGGATCCCACTGACGGGGACATCGTTGTTGTCATTCCGTGTTTCGACGGCGATACGTTTCGAATGGATGTTTTCTCAGCTTGGCTGGCCGCCGGTGAATCGTTCTTCGGATTTACATCAAATTCTATTTCGTGGTTTTTTAAGCAATCTTCGCGTGATTTTTCAATCTCTCGTTTTGATTCCGTTTGCACATTTTCGTTATCTTCGCAAGAATATTGGAAAGAGGTATTTTTTAAAGGAGATTGTCGATGCGATAAACACTTTGGTTCGCAGATTAGATTATCCTTCTTCTCCGGCGAATTGTCTGCCGTATGATCCGATGGTTTCGCGCTTGAAAAATGTTTCTCACGACATGGTGACGATGGAGTTTCGTCGTAAACGTGTTCCTCAACGTAATTAATCGACGATTGACAAGTCGCTGCTTGAGCTTCGTTCTCATAGATTTTTTCTCGCCCATCTTCGAAGATCGATCGTTCGGTAGGAGAAGTTCGGGTACTACTGCGAGGCGAGTTCAGATAATACTCGCCGCTTTTCGAGCTGGAAGGAGAAAACTCGCTCTTTTGACTCGAATTAGGTGTGCAACTCGAATCGGCATAATCGCCGGACTTTTGGCTGGACCCAGACGATGGATACTTTGTAGTTCTTCCGATTAAGGGCGCTCTCTGAATCTGATTTACGATTGGTTGCCGAGTAATCTTGACTTGCGCGGGAACTGATTGCGGGGTGTTGATTAAGCCCGTCTCGAGATTGCCATCATTCTGATAAAGTCCGGATTGATTCTGGTAATTTTTGTTATCGACAACATCCATGCCACTGAAATCGTCGCATAGTTGGTTAATGTCGTCCTGATAATTTTCATAGTTTGACAACTCTAATCGCGACTGCGGGATCTCAGGGAGCGGTCTGTCGACGAGATGAATGGCTCGAGGTCGAACTAAATATCGTTCACCCGGCGGCGCCGAAATTCGACCGGAGGGTCCGTGATTTCTCTGGAAGAAATAATTACGATTGCCATGATTCGACTCTTGTAAACTGTGCTTGCGTTCCAAATAATTACATCGTCGGCTGTCGTGCTCCTCGCGTTTCTGCCTCTGCTCGTACTTTCTGATGTCGGGCGAGATAACATATTGTCCGCCACGCTCTGTCCATCTCTCGTCCGGCGCGATCGAGCTGAGACTGGAATCGGTAGTATACGATCTCTGACTTTTGGTTCTATCACAAAGAAGTCGCGTATCATCCGTTTGCAAAAAGTGATCCGGCGTGCTAGTAATTGGTCCTTGCTCGGGAAACAACTCGCGTTTGATCTCGTCCAACCTCTCATCGATGATGGAGCCGTTCAGGCTGTTATCCAGTTTGACGTTTCTCTTGATATCTTCGTTTAGATTCATCGTGTCCGGCGATCTCGTGTAATTTCCATTTTGCTGATAACGAGCAAAATGCCGTTCGTCGTATCGTCTTCGTTCCTTCTGCTCCTTTTTCTTGTAATCTTTTCGAGAATCCTTTGGCGAAAAGATGGCTGGTAAAAGACGTCGAAAACCGAGCTTCCTTTTCTGTTTCTCCTCTTTCTTCATCTTGGATGATCCCGCCTCCATGGCGAATTCTTTTATAAGACTAGCGTAACCGTCTTTATTGCGATGATTTCGGAGCACGAAGGTCGAATCGGTAGGTTCTCTTGAATTAATTATCGTAAAGGAACTTAAATAAGTCTCATCGTTCTTTCGTTCAGTGGAATGTTTGTTCTCATCTACAAGAAATATGTCTGACACTCGTTCTTCGTTTCTTACTATATTCTTTTTATAATTATTCCCCACTTGATTCGAATTTGTATCGTTACAATTATCGATGCCCGTTGTGTCACTAATGCTTTTCTCTTCTCGTAAATTTTGATTCTTCTCTTCAGAGACCGTCGCTGTTGTGAGAATGGTATTCGCTTCTTCATTCCATTGAATGCAGTCTTTTATTTTCTCGTTATCATATGCTTGGTCAAGTCCATCGATATCGTCATCTGTCTGCACTTCATTCACATGAGCAATGTCCTCATCGACAGCCTTGATTCTATCCTCCAAGCACGAATCGGAATCGACAGTGCTCACGGTACTGTTCTCAAGAATTTCCTCCGAAGTTCGTATCTTCGACTCATCGATCGACGTTTGCCTTTTCGCGAACTTTGCTGGATGTTTTTGGCCGAAAAGCAACCGACCGTCGTGATCCTCGACGATGCTCTCGCGCGAGGACACGCTACCAAACTCTTCAATGTAAGATGATTTCGAGGATTCCGAGGAGTTACGTTGCAAACGATTCTCTAAAAATTCTCCGGACCACCTTTTCTCTATCTCCGTTACTTTCTTGCTGTATCTTCGCCCGATTTTACGCGATGGTTGATCTTCAGTTTCGCTGGTTCGGTCGTGGTCGGACGTGTAATCGAGATCGGTTTCCAACAGTCTCCTCTCCTCGATTTTCAATCGTTTATCCAGATTATGCTTCTCGAGAAAATCCTTGTCGAATCCGGAACTTAATCTCTCGCTGCCACTCGACTCTGTGGTAACCGACGACCTCGGAGTATAATTGGCCTGAAAACCCAGCAGCTTCTCTTTATAACTTTGCGCAGTACTAGGCTGAATCCTGGTGCTCAGATTCTTTTGAAGATCTTCGATAGTCGCTTGACTTTTCTCCAGACAGCTCTGCGCGTCTCTGTCAATTTTCGCGCTTTCTCTCCGATTTTCGACGCCTGTTGCGTCGTTTCGTTTTTCGATCTCGTTCAGTTCATTGCACTGCACATTTGCAATTTTAGATATTTCATTATGTTTCTCAAATTCAACGCAATTTACATCAGCATCATTTTTAACATCTTCCGTTTCGAAAAGTTTACGTTCAGTCGATTGCTCTTGCGTATTCGCAAATAATGTTTCGTCAACAACTTTCTCCCGATTTGGCGATAAATCTTTTGACAATTCTTTCGTAGAAGAAGAGACTGTCAAAGATGAAGTATTTTCTTTCTTGATCACAGGTTTCTCCGGGACTTTTGGTGGCACTTTATTTCTCTTGGCGATTGCATTCGTCGAATTTAGATCGTCGATCACAATGCTACCGATGGCTGGATTCTTGGTAAGTTTAATCGGTTTGATCCTTCTTCCTTCGTTTGGAAAACTAACGTCGTCGCTCTTTCGACTCCTCGAGATGGGAAGCTTTGATTGCCTATCAAGAATAATGGTCTTAAGATTAGTGTCTTTTGGTTTTGAATACGTGAACGCATTTTCCGGAGCGGAAAATATGCCGTTACTTGTCGATTTCTGTCGGTCGTCTTTCGCTCGTTTGACAACATTCGACTTTGTCTCAAAACTCTTGGAGAATTTCCTCGAAGACTCGTTCTTCGTCAGCAGTACTTCTCGCGATCCGTTCGAAGACTCGAGGACAATCTTTTCAACGGTAATTTTATCGAGCGAGAAAACTTGCACGGTTCCCGCATTCGCTTCCTTTCCGTCTTCTTTAAGCGGATTCTGATTATGTTGCGCATCTGTTTCCGAGATATCGAAGACTTTCCCCATTGACTCCATTCTGGTACGCTGCGCACCGTTCTCCCTTTAAGGTCGCCTGAAAAAATTTTACCGTGATCTTCTCGACACATCCGAGAAAAAAAATTAAATTTTTGAAATAGTAAATTAATTTTTTTTTTAAATAGTTAAAGAAGCTTTATTTTCAAACAATATCTTGTACGAAGAATCGTCTCCTTGTATCGCAATTTCGGATCTTTATATAGTCGCTTGAAATTGTCTCATAAGTTCACCGCGTTGGTATTTAACCCGGTCAAGTACGTGATATACGTACGCGGCCATGTGCGCACCAACCGCACATGCTTGCGAGCACGTGCCAACACGAGCGGAGTTAATGTTGCCCGAGTCGTGCGAGAGTGCGCCAACAAGCTCTGGAATAGTCTAAACACGTGTATGCATATTCTAAATATCGAAGCAGAAAATCGTCTTCGGTTCGTGGCCGTCATTCGCGTACAATCAATGTCCCTCCCTTTTCCTCTCTTTCTCTCTCTCTCTCTCTCTCTCGCTCCCTCTCAAGGAATCGCCCCGCGTCGCAAAGTGCAACGACCGTAACGAATTCGTTCAAGGAACTTACAAAGCGTCTAAAACGAGAACCGCCGCACGGCTTCAAATCCCTTTTTCCCGTGATACCGTTAAACTCGTTTCCGCCCGTATTTCCCCTCCAAGTGACGTAAGCGTTAAGGATATACACGTCGAAAGTGGAAAGGAGAGAAATAGGTATGTTTATTTGCATCGCAAAACAAACCCTGAAGATATTATTAATTGAAGAATATACACATCAAGACGGAATACTTTCTTATTTTCTAAATATAATCCATTAACGTTAAAATAAGAAATAAAAACTTTAAAAAGAGATGAATTTTGTATATGAAAAGTAATGTCAAAAGTGAAGGGATAAAAGCAGAAAACAAAAGTAAAATTATATATTAAAAAAGGTGTATAAATGAGTAGAAAAAGGATACGAAACTGTCTATTTCGCTCGCTGAGAAGCTAGAAAAGTAAATTACTTTTATTATATGCAAACATATTAAAAATATTTAATTGTAAAAAAATTTTAATAATACAAATATATAATAAAAATATAATAAATATATAATAATATATAATAAATAATAAATATATAATAATAAAAACATAAGGTATAAAAAGAGATGGGGAAGAAAATGCATAGTGTACAGTTGTGAAAAAAAATTTAACCAAAATTGCTGAATAAGTGCATAAATTGTGAATGATTAATAAGAAAGAAAAATACGCGCTGCATCCTAATTTTGCGATTAATAACTAATAACCGATTGTATCATATAATCTTCTATTCGCGTAATATTTATCTAATGGCACATTAACCCAGAAACTGTGGCAGGATGCCAAATGAACAACTTTTTACCACAGATTTGTTATATTCCCGTTTATCAGATGGGATAAGGAGACACTTGCTCTTAATTCGATATCAATATGTTCATATTGCATAAATCGGCAAAAAAGTTGGCAGCGTTTATTTTCTCGTGTCGGTTTTACGTGTCTGCCGTATCGCACCTGTTACCTCATTTTAACTCAGCGACCAATTAATTAGGCATATAGTAATCGTAAATTAATAAAATGATACTTGTTCCGCTCCCATAATTCGCCTCTTTTCACGTATCTCACGTTCTTCATACTCGAGATAAAAGATGGAACTTTAAAACAAGAAAAAAACATAGGCACCTGCGAGAGAGATAATTAAAAAAATTAATTAATTAACATTCGTTACAGCACACACGTCTTCAGACGCATCTGATTCGGATGCAACGCGTGACACTCCGATTGAGCGTGCTTGTTCATCGGCACGTTCCGGTTCGAGACTGCACGCAAATGAGACTTAACATTGTTAACCCCGTCGGCGTGTCGCGTTAGACGTTTCCCGGAAAATGTTTGCAACCGACAGACCGGAGAATTCGCATTATTCGTTACTCGAAACTACGAGTTGACACGACGAATAGGTAACAGTATGTAAAAGAAATGCAATATTCGCGAGTGAAATCAATACAACGGTATTGACTTACGTATAGCGATCTCGCGAAATATCTGCTTGCTGTCGCCCCGATTACATAAACACCGCGTATATACGATCGTGATGCAATTGCGCTTACCGAATGATCAAGTTCTTACTCGAGCCGGGTACATTACATCTCATTCGATAGTAATATACTGTACGATAATAAAAATACAGATAAACAATTTTATTTAATTTAATATAACACGCGTACATTTATCGTATTTTTAAATTAAATATTTACTTTATATATCGATATTTTTATAAATTTAGTATTTCCGATATATTTTATTAGTTCAAATTTACATATTTTTACTTCAACGACTGCATTTTTATGCGATTAATAAAATATATAGCAATAAATGTTTATAAAGAGAATTCATAAATATACATATTGCCTCTCTTTGGAGATTAATTTATGTCCGCCGATGTAATAATAGCTATACAATGGTAAAAAGGTTGAAAACGGTAGATTAACAGATAACGATAGCAAATAATATATGCGAGAAAAACACGCGATAATAACGCGGAAACGCCATCATCCTCTATCCACGTCTCTTGATCATCAGCGGAGAACTTGAACGGCAAGTCGACGAGATACATGACTGCGCCAAATAGAAATAAATGGAAGGACAAAGCTGGTAATTGACAAACACGTATCCCGCCAATATCCCGTAATTATCGCCATACTTGTTATCTCATTATCGTCATTGGATAGCGTCGCGAGACGACAATTTCAAAGTGGCCTTTAGAGTTTGCCGACTGTTGGTGATTTGCAGAATGCGAAATTCAAAATACGTACATCCGAGAGCCATTTCCGTCGTTTAAAACGTAATCAAAGTCGAGAATAAATCCTGATATTAACGATTTAACGATATCCTCTTTATATAAGCGTAAATGGATTTGATGAAAAAATTTTCCGATGCATCTATAATATTTAAAAATTGCTCTGTAGAAAAATTAGGAAATGAAGATGGCAGAAACAAAAAACTTCAAAAATTAACATTAAATTTGAGTAAATTAAAAATATGTATCAAACCGATGCGCCATTTTCCTTTGCGATAAACTTCCGCGTCTCGATATCAACAACTGGTCTCTATACATTTAATAAGTTAGCAGCACGCTAAATTTTGTAGGAATTTTATATATTTTATATATTTTATTATTATATATATATATATTCTTTTTTTTTCTTTCTCGATGATGCGCGGTACATCTCGATTCGCATATAGATAATACCCAAGAGTCCACGGACTGAGTGCAATGCGCTTGCATTCTGACGTAAAGAGCGTTTGCTTGAAGATAACCATCGAAGGCACGTCGGTTCCTTTGAAGAGGCAGACCGACATCCTTAAAGTTTCCGCGATGATTCCACATCGCGTATTAGTTTATAAATATAAATGATATTCTGTAAAATATAGGGAACGCGAGAGTAGTGATTGAAAATATTATGCAGCCGGAGAGATTAATTTTTGCAATAATTTCAATCAATAATTCAGTCCAATTAATCTCGAAAAAATCATAAAATCATAAATTATTGACGCGGAATTTTTATTCCATCACTATGTCAAAATATATCGTTTCCTGGACAATTTTCACACATCTTAAAGCGATTTAATTCTAAATTAAAAAATGTGTGTACAAATATTTGATTCCATTAATATTAAATACTTTGATTATTTTAAAGAAGCTTTACTTTTCGATAACAATGTTTTGACCGCACATAATTATATAATTGCTAATCGCGTCTGCGAGTAAAAACGTTACGATGTCGCAAATTTTATTTCAGTCATATTCAATGACTCAGACGAAAGAAACAATGATAGACAACAAAGATTAGATACACGTGTGTCGTGGTTTCGATAGCAGGATGGATGTATAGTTGTCACAGCTCAAACGTTTAACGGATTAACGAGCGACGCTCGATGCTGCTAATACGATAATGATGCTACTCGACGATCGTGCCCGGTATCGGCGTGCATGGTATTAATCTGCGATTGCGTCCATCATTCCTAAATTTAATCGTCATCGTCAATGATGCTGTCGCATCGATGCGATAATTGCTCGACAAGTATGTACGCGCGATAATCCTCGGCGTCGATATCATTGGAATATCGTTCTCGCGGCCGCCTATACGAAGGTCGATGATGACGCATGATAACGCAATTGAAATTTTATTTATTGGCACGAATTTTACGCGAGATAAGAATTTACACGTTTCGCACAGGCAGATGTGATTTACAAGCGAATAAAATGCAAACTTACACTTTATTCGCTTGCGACACACTCGACGTCTATTGTTCGCTGTAGCTGCTCGTGTGCATAGAAATGCATACACCGTGAAAGCGGCGAAAGAATTTTGTCAAAGATAACGATATTTGCGCGCACTTTTTGGGATTTATTTGGAAATCATATAAGTCGCCGACGTAACGCGACGTAAAGCGAAATGCGAAACGGAAAACGGGAATAAAGGACGAAGCGCAAACTCTACTGTTCGCGCGACACAGAGACAGAGCCAACGGGCTGCAGTTTTTGCAGCAGAGGCAATTCTTAAAAAGAAGCGAGCATGCATGCATTTATGAAGCCGTTACTACCGAATACACATACGCGAATACCCCGGGAGAAGTCACGAAGAGTAAAGTTGCTCCGTTTTCGTCGATCCCTTCGTGACGGATTAACTCCTTATCTCGAACGTAGGAAGAGGGAAGGATATCCTTATCATTGTCACACCTCGGACACACTGTCACTGTCACACGATAACGAACGACGCGTGATTTTTCGCGACATTCTTTTCTTCCTTGCGCAAAAAAGGCAAAAAGAGCGGAGGAGAAGAGTGAAACTCTGGAGTAGGCGCTGGACCTGGAGGATACGATAACGAATACAGTTAATGAGAGAAGAAAAATTAAACAAAGTCGTGGGGGGAGAGGAGAGAACGAAAAGACGAGAGAAAGACAGCAAAAGGAAAGAGGAGGAGAAGAGGGAGCGAGATAAACGAGGCGCCGGCAACGATGTCTCTGTACTGACTGACGACGAGTTGTTCGTATAATGTACGTAGAGTACGAGAGAAAGAGAGAGAAACGACGGGGAGAGGGAGAAGACTGAGAATGTAAGAAAGAGCGAGACGAAGATGGGGAATAATGAGGAGAGAGAATGGCCGAGACGAGAACTGGCCGAGGCAAACGCGAGAAACGGAGACCGGAGAAACGCTTCGTTCGAGGACTCTCTCTTGCACGCGAGCTCGCAAAGACTCGGTTCGATTGTGAGCGAGTTGCCTGTTAACGCTGATAACGAGTACAGGTACGTATGTATTTACCTATGACACATCACCGTATTGGGGGGAAGATCGCAGTGATTCTCAACCGTAACAATATCCAATTGTCGAATCGTTTCCAACAATCGAGGAACCATTTGCTCCAAGATATCTTTCATATGCAAAATCAACCTTCTCCCTAAAATATTCAAGAGGAGCAAATTAAGAAAAAGATGACAAACTTTTTTTACACCAACTAAAAAGAAGAAACACGAAAAATTAATAATAATTAAGAATTTAATTATTTTTAGTCGAGTGGATAATGTGTAACGTATAATATCAATAAAAGTTTATGAGAAGCAAGTCTGCGATCGATTTAATCTCGTTACTCCAACTGAAACTTGCACAATATTTGTAGTATATCATGTATCACAATTGAATAATCTTTCTATATAAGTATACTGAAATAATCTTACGTGCACACACACACATGTCCGGAATTATACGTTCAAAGACGGAAGAGCGACCGAAACTACCGTAATCTAGGAACACTTGGACCAGTAAAAAATTTCTATCGAGCTGAACAAGCAAATGGAATTTTAATTAAAGCACCTTGCGTGTGCACTGAGAATTACCACGACGCTAGATATCGCAAGCTCGTATTATCACGATTCTATAGAACACTATGATTTATCTCTGATTTATGGAGGTATATTCTCTACGCGAGCACGATTATTTTCTGAAAATTATATTCCTGAAATCGAGGGAAAAATCAAGTTTCCTCGGAACGTACATTAATTCGTTTGCATCACGAAATATGTTTCCGATTATCAGCGAATTTTTTATCCTCGAGAACAACTGAAAATATAAATAATAAATAAAAATTATAAAAGTAATAATTGTGATTAGATATTTTTGCAGATTTGTGTCGAGAATTTTTCGTATATATCCTTTATTACGCAACAAATAAAAATAGTCACGATATCATTTCTGATCCGCAAACTACAGGGGATAGCGGATCCGATACGTAACTCGAGGCTAGGAGCTAAAGAGAGTCTCGAAACGTTTCCTACGAGACGACCTTTCGATCTTTCGAGACCTTCTCCTTGGATCGAGAGATGAATTTCTTTTTTGTCCTGGCTTCAATCAAGCGTACATCGATCGAGAACGTTCCCTCGAGTCCCCCGTTGTTCAACCTTCGCCTTCTCCGATTTTCGTTTCTCCCACATCGAATCTCTTTACGATGATTCTCCGCGTACTTAAATCCATCTCGGGAATTTTTATTTGACTTTGCTTCTTCCGTTTTCCTTCGTTTTTGTCCGCGCAATCATGATTTATTGATAAAAACGAGACGAAATATAGCGCATTCGAGTTGCAAGGTAAACGACTGCTTGTGCAAGAAACGTTGTGCAGAAAACGAGTATGCGATACCAGGAAACGCTAGTGTGTTATTACGATTATAAAAATGTACATGATGAAAAAATTCAATAGTGAATACCGAGTGACTTAAGAATTATATGTCATATTAATGACAAACATATTTCCATCAATTTATACCCGCACGCATCATATTATTTATATCAATACCTCGTTTTATGCGCGCTACTGTTATTTACTTTAATCTAGACATAAAATATGCATATTTCTAAATTCTGTATTGTGTAAGCTCGATATAAAGTCACCCTAGATACATGTGTCTTTTCTTTTGTAATATTTTTTTTTAAATGCTAATAGTTTTCATAATTTTCGTAAATGAAATATGCATAAAATTCAATATTCAAATTTTCATTCGAAATACCCTGTGTTCAATTGTATCGGTGACAGTTAGATGCAAGCAACATCGAGTATTCCTACTGTTGATAAACGTGAAGGAAAGAAAGAGATAGTCGATAAGGAAGAATACACAAGCAATAAATGAAAAATTTAATCTTTACACGGTATAATGGCTCTTTATACGAAACTTCCACTCGTTAAAGGATTCTGTTATTTGTTCTCAAAATGATAAAAATAATAGTATAAAATTTGAAAAGCAATATATAAATTATTACAATAGATTTTAAAATATTTTCATATAAATTAAAATGATTTGATAACGAAACGATTTAAAAATATTTCATGACAAATTTACCGCATTTAATACGAAAATATAGAGCAAAATGATGACAGATAAAATCACGCGATAAAAAATTATGATTATTATATATTAATCGCGTTTGTTTGCAAGAAGGATATATATCTGATTAATATAATATGCTATTATTAACGGTCATTCAATAATCTAATGATTAATTCAATAAACGAGCGAATTATTATGAACAATGAACGCTCAATGTTTTAATTCTCCTCAATTATCTCATAATATATTCTTTATATATTATTCAATTAATAATCGAAAGTTACAATGTAATTATTTCATCAATTATTCCACAATAATAATAATTATTAATACATCCCTCGATGAATAAAGAATAAATTTAGATTCTATTTCTAAATGTTACATAATACATATATAATTATTACAAGAATCACATATAAAACATAATCACATCGCATCGATTATATTTATGATAATTGTGTAATTAATTTGAGCGTGTTCCTATTGAGTCATAATGTTAATGATCAAATTATTAAATCAGCACTTTTGTATGCTTGAGATATATTTATTTTTTGACCGTCTTTTTTGGGTAAATCAACCGCTCGAAGTAATTTGGAACGGGATACCCGTCTAGACGGGATCTTTAGACGGGGCCCCCATAAATATTTATGAATTTAAAACGCATAATTACTCCAAAGAGAAGCACAGTTACACAATGCGCATGTATACAATAAACTGCACGCGACTTTTTATTTATCTTGTTTCTCTTTCTTTCGTTGCCAAGTGCGCATCTATACGTTTATGTAAATTTTTGGCACTGCTGAATTTAAGTTTCTATTTACGAGATTGTACTTTATGAACATAAAGTGTGTAAGAAGAGAATAACTTCCTAAATGTCTTGCAAGAACATAATGTTTTCTACAAACTCTGACAATTGAAAATCTTTCTTGTGTCAGAAATGGACTTATTAAAAGTTATATAAAATTAATTGATATTGAAGTAATATATAAATATCATTGTTCAAATGCTTTAGTAATGCTACTTCCAGCCTTTTCCATGTTTATTTTTCAAGATGTATTACGTAACAGAAATAGGTTTAATAAGAATTACGTAATCACTATATAAGGAATCATATTATGAGAAATAATATTATGTATATCGACCACGCACGTATAAATTGATTTATTTTTATCCCATTATTCGTATTCCCATTTAGTTTTTTTAGAGGTTTATAATTATTTCTTGCTCGTGCAGTTGACGTCATATACGCGGATAATAATGATTGCAATTAAAAGCGATGAATTGCGAGAAAATATTCTGCTTGCGACTCAATATTAACTGTATTGTTCTTTCAAACTCGTATATATTCTATTGTTCTAGAATAGATGTTTATAATAATTAATTGTAAAATTAACTGTACAGAAAATTACTGAATATAATTATTATTTATTTTGTTTTAAACAATTGTAATTTAATAATTGCAATAAATGTAATTAAAAATATATGTTGCTAGATTATTAGTAAATTATTATTTTAATGATAAATATACCAATAGAGAACAAAATACGAATCGGTAGCATAAATGCATTTTTCATTTGATAATTTTTCAGAGCAAATAATAAGCATAATTATATCAAATTTAATTATTAAAATTAGACGCGGCAGACTGCAATGAAAATGCAATATATTATTCGTTTACCGTATTTATTTTAACACGTTTTATTGCAAGAAATATCTGGATAAATGAATAATATATTCACTATGTATTTAAAATTGGTCTTTTAGCTGTTCGGAAAACATGTTTGAAAAATATATAAAAAATTTAATAAACGCGATGACTCGTAATAAAATTGCTTTATAGATCATGTGATTCATATGAAAAGAATTCTGATCATCTAATCAGAATTTTATTCGTCTTGACAAGCGACAATCGCGCATTTCATCAATCAAAGAATTATATTTAGCGTCGAATATATGAATGCCAGGCATTATATTCGTACAGATATAATTTTACGGCAAATGCGAAATACTGTGCAGAAATACGTATCGATAATATTATATTAAAGATTCAAGGATACCTCGCGTTCCGCGTTTATGCAAAAAAACTTTTGTATAAAAAATTTCTTTTATATACTACATCTAAATCTACAATTTAGGCCCTCCAAGGTACTCCCGAGCAGCAATGGCGTCATAATCTTTTAAATCAATCCCGGAATAAATGCGGAAGGACGAAAATTAACACGCTCGTGAACAAATCGCGAGCAAATAAGCGCGACAGCAACTTGCTCTGTTACAAAGCGCCGATTGTGAAGACTCCGTTACACACTTAAAGTGCCCGGTCGTTATATGCAGGTATGTGCACATTATTGCCGCCCAATCCCGACCGAGGAATGCGTTACCGTGTGGAATCGCCTCTCACATCGGCAGGTTCGAATGCTCTTTGTCCGTGAGATCTGACCTGATCCAGTAGTCCACCATCTGCTACCATCTGCCTTCGTAAAGATTTCCTCGAAAGAAATTTCAGGAAGCATAGGGAAAAGATGCTCTCTCTCTCTAAAGAATGCACCTTCCTAAGAAATATTTATTTTCGAAATCATGATTGTAACAATATTTTATATATTTGTGTACGTGCGCAAAAAAATATATTCACATTTATCTTAAAAAATAAAAGAGATATATTTTTTTAATTATAATTATATAATGATATTATAAAATTTATAAAATAAAGAAAGATATCAGAAAAAAATTAGAAATCATTTGTAGTCAATGCATTTTGCTTTGACAAAGTGAAATTTGCTTCACACAAATATATAAAATTAATTTTGCAATTATTTCTCGAAATATCTCATAAGCTTTGAAATAAGTCAAGTTATATTTTTTGATAAATTTAGAGAGAGAGAGAAAGAGAGACAAACATTTTTTATCTAACATTATTAACAAAGTGTCAAAAAAAATCATAAATATCAATTAATAATTCAACTTTGATTTTCAAAGAAAAATAATCTCTTTCATAAACGTAACGCTCGTGGTGCGATTATTGACTTTGATTAAGGCCGTCAGTAATTCAAACCGAATATTCAATGTCGAAATAAACCACACGCGTTGCAAATTTTCGGACGATTTACAATCGCGACTCAACGTCACTCACGATCAAACAGTAAAAAGGATCGACGTTTAACGGCCTCGAGCTCACGATAGGTCTCCCTCTCGTACTAAAGTCTCTTCCTGCCCCCATGTCATCATTTTATCTCGCTCCTGTGAATGAATTTGTGAACACAAACCATTGGTCCGCCTCACATCCGCCTATTTCGGTACAGACACGCGTGCCCTTCGTCTTTCGTTGAGGGAGAAAATTATTTCTAGCAGCTGGGCAACGATCTTTTCTTCGAACATTAGTACAATCTCGATTTATTCTATTCGGCTCGATTAATATTGACGAATATCCACGGAATTCTCACGCGACGTAGCATTCTATTACAATTTTCGCTTTACCGTACTTGAAATTACTTCTTCATTAACGGGAATTTCTCAGAGATTCTGTGTAGAATCCTCCAAGATTTATGCCGGAGATAATAGAAATTATGTCATCGCGTAATACCGATAATTGGTCCAGACTTATTAATCGAGGCAGATAATTATATGCGAAATATGCGTACGTGTGCGTGTACTTGTACGATTGAAAAGAGAAATCAATGTGTGAGTGATTGCTCAACTAGAAATACACATCAAAATTGATGATCTCCGTAAAGAGGAGCGCACTTTTACGCAATGAATTAATCATTATATCTGTGACGTGATAAATCGCTACAAAACCGATACATTATAGTGCTCGTGCGCTCATCCATTAAACCTTCACTGCGGGGGAAAAAACGTAAATTTCGTTCGAAGAAAAAGACGACGGGAAAACTTGGTAAAGAAAATGGCGCGATTGAAGCGCACCAGGTATAAAGAATATAAAGGATTCCTGTAAATTTACACGGCACCCTCCTGGCGATGTCTTTTAGCGTAACTTGCACGAGTTCACCGGTTGGCATGCTCTCGCATGAATGCAACGCGAAATGCAACGCCAGAGAAAAACACCGGGGTGTAAGTGTACGCGCGTAATGTGTCTATACATCGCACGGTGAAACTAGAAGTTAACAGCTGGAAACTGGTTTCCAAGAGAAGGTTTTATTCGCGTACACGGACATACAGTCGTACAAAGAATAGGAGAAAGAGAAGACAAGATACGAAACGAAAGAGAGAAGAAAACGAAGACGGATAAAAAGGAAAAGGATGCAAAAACTTTTCTGGAAAAGATACACTAGAATAAGAAGAGATATGAACAAGTGCAAAGAAGAATATAAAAATTGGCATTTCCAATGCTTTTATTTCTCTCACATAAATATAAATATAAATAATAATTTTCATTATTAGTTGAAAATTAATTAGTCGAATTAAAAAGTGAGAATATATAATTTAAAAAAAAAAGTTGTATATTCGATGATTTTATAAGCAGCGAATTTTGTAGAATCTATTAATTTTCTATTAATTTCGTAATAGATATTATATCAACTTATACGAGATAATAATATAAAAATATTATTAAATTGATTTAAAATAATAAAGTCATTTTGAATTAAAAATGAAGATTACTCGTCTTTGCTTTTAGGATCCTCTCAAAAGAATGAAGAAAAGAACAGGAATGGAAAGAGAGGAAGAAGAAAGAGAAAAATAAGCGAAGAGAAAGGTGAAGGAGAAAAGAGGGAGAAATCAAGGAGTATGGTTACACTATTTGTGTCTAAGGAGAAACATGGGCGCAGAGATTTAGGGGCACCACCTTTTGACATGTATATGGTAATTTTTACATTCATCTGTTATGTAATACAATCTTCATTTGAAATATAATTAAGAGAGAGAAAGAGAGGACAAATTTTTAAACTTTAAAAAAATTTTTTTGATTAATCAATTTATCAAATGAATTTAGAGTCTAATTTTCCTTAATATCGAGATACATAAATTATTGATGAATGATAGAAAAATTTCGAAATCTTTACAAATAGACGCAGACTTTCGCTTTGTTAATTATAACGCGGTTCAAAATTAAATATTGAAATATTGCGACGCCGAACGAATGTCGAATTTTCGCCGAGGTAAAAGTCAACATTAGATCCATCAAGCAATCCATAAAAGAATAAAAATGACTGCGGCCGACACGGAGCTGCCTATGACGTATACGAGTATGTATGCACAGCGGAAATTAAGATTCTTCCCGCAAACAAACGCAAAACTTTAGTCCCAGCTTCGGATTGCGAGAAGCGGACAAGGAGGAGACAAAGAGAGACGGAGCGAACGGGATGGAGGTGGAATACGCAAATGTACATGAGGAACAATATAGATAAAGTTGAACAGGAAGAAGAAGGAACGGCGACGCGGGTGCATCTCGCTTTTGGCGCCCGAGAGCGCTATATTTTTTTTGCTCGATTGAAAGAAGCAGCGCGGGAGAAGTGGCTCGAGGTTCCCTTCGCGAAGACCAAGAATCCCCTTTATTGCGCGGGATTATCTCTGTCCGAACATATCCGAAAGGCATAAGGATCGCATGCCTGCCAACTATGGCTGTTATAACTGCACGTGCGCGCGAATTGCACTTTGTCTCTCGTGATTTGAAACTCGCGACTGGTAGCCTCTCTCTCTCTCTCTTGCGCGTGCACGTCAATTATATAAGAGATAATAATTGCCCTCAAAGAAATACCGTCGTGTTTATCATCAAAAATTATTCTCTCAAAAATAATCAACTGCGTATTTTTTAAATGAGACACTATTATATTTTAAAAATTAGGAAAAACTAAATCAGCATTAAAGTAGCATTAAAAAGGACTTTTTATAATAATAATTCCTCTGTTAATAGTTATGATAATAGGTACTGACATACTTATTTTTTTGTGGTTTTCGTGACTTATATATGTGCGCATGTGTAAGAACAAAGTAAAAGAGATTAAAACAATATTTAAATATTTTTCAAAATTAGAAATGTTTCACGAATATTTGTTAGATGTTGAAAAACATGTATTGTGTTTAAAATCTCTACGAATAAAAACACAATATAACAAGAAAAAATGATCTAACCTGTATCGCACATATCTCGGGATCAAACTTAAATAAATCGAATTACCGCGTTACGCGTCAATTTTAAACTTGCGCGAGAAACGCGCGCGAGAAAGTGCAAATCGAATCCTGCCCCTAATCTCTTACCGTTATCGACATTCAATCTTTTGCCGTTGTACTCACCATAATTTTTCGCTGAGATCGGCGTCGGCGAGGAAGGAAGGATACCGTTGCACCGGAGATAGATCCTACAGCCGTCCGCTGACGAGATAAAAGGACGAGTTTCACTCCGACGCTCACCAATCACTGTACACGTTGGACTTTAACTCGCGACGCGACTCCGAAAATCTCTCTCGAGATGCTTGCGTTTCGAACAAAAAGGTAAATCGCGCGTCGACCGGCAACGCGATGGACCCGCGGAAAGAACGAGACAGACGCTGGACCCAACGGCAACGCAACAAGTGACAGCCCCCACGCGCAACGCGCGTCGTACGTACACTGACTCGGGAAGCGCGTGACCTCGTGCTACGCGCGCCCACCGAGGGCGCCACCGCTCGAGTCGCGACCGCGTCCTTTAATAATCATTTTATTTCAACAAAACAAAGCCGAACGTTTTGTTTTCTTTTCAACATACCTTTATCCTTTTGCGTACTTGTGTTATGATATAATGTTATGAAAGTGATGTAATAATATAAAAATCAATAGGCAACATAATACGCTTTTCATTTATTTAATCTATGAAAAGCGTTTTTCTTTTCTTTTCCAATGTATTGTTTACAATAACCATATAAATTTCCGATTAGAAAAAGAGTATTTTAAAAATGTTGCCAGTGTTTGATTTTCTGCATCACATTCTTCTGGAAATGAAATAGAACATTTTAAATTTTATTTTAATTGTAAAAAGGAAAAGAATTAAAATTAAAATATAAGCGAACAAAAAATATTATTTCAATAAGTATTATTATATGACATAGCAATATTATATTTTAATAATCTTTCTTCACTCTCTTATACAGTTCTGAAATGAACTCGATAGTTCCGTTAAAGAAAAAAATGAGTTTTAATTAAATTCAATAAAAATTCTTGTATAATAATAAATTAACAAAGATTATATTCGAATAATTTGTTATGTAAAATATATAGAAAATTGTGTTTATAAAAACTATACTTGATAAGGCAGATCTTAATATCAATTTAATGTAGCTCCTATATCTATTATTGAAAATTAAATGAAAATAAATTTTATAAAGTTTAATATTAATGTTTTTTTTCTGTTACGTATAATAAAATAAATATACCTGAAATAAAAAGTTATGCATATTTTATTACATGTTTATAAAATTTTAATTATATGATAAATAAGAAATATTTCAGCGTATATTCTCTTAAGCAGATAGGCGGTAGATGACAGCACAAATATCGTATGGAAATCGATATGTTTCATTTTGATTTGGAAGAATCCTATTTTATCATCTTGTTGAAAAAAGAAAAATATATATTTAATTTTAAAACAATTAAAATATTTCGCCAGTGAAAATAAGCACATATTGCGATTGTAAATTCAAAGTAATAAAACAGATTAATTAAATGAATGGAATCAATAAAGAATTAGTAGTGAATTAGATCAGACTTAAATAATTAGTAAAATTAGTAATCTTTCTATTATCATTAAATACATTTTTTTTGCGTTGACGCGGTTTATTTTAATATTCCGGGAAAAAAGTCTAGATATAATTATATGTAAAATATATATATATATATATATATATATATATATATATGTGAATATATGTGTTCTCATATATCTTTCATACATTTCTTTGTTCATCTAAACAGAAATAATAAAAAGCACAATTAAAAATAATTAAAAAAATAATTTTTATATTGCTTATTTCTCTCTCATAAAGTATATATAAAATGATTTATTATTATTAAGTATTATTACTTAGTATTAATAATTCATTATTTTTCGTAATTTACTTTTTATTCTTAGAGCAAAATATCTAATTTTATTTTTAGTATTAATTCATCATTTTTATAAAATTCCAAATATATCGGCAGAAAAATCGCAACGTAACCCGATATATCCGAAATCTCGATAAATTAATGATTTTTTAGAAAGGTAAGTAGTAGAAAAATGATTCGCGGATTAAATATACTGAAATCAAAGTGTTCGTCGAAGAAATTGAACTTTTTATTATGAGAGTAAAGTATCGATGGGTAGACAACTCGATCAGACGGATAGATCGAATCGAAATGAACGAGCCGACCGCTCCCTTTAGTTAAGCCGGGAACGACTCCGATTAATATATCTGTCAATCAGACACGTCAACAGAAACTTTCCTTTAGTGCAGATCGATTTCGGTATGGCGCCTAACTGAATATTTATCACCCTGCGAGAAAGCACAAAAGAACTGATTACGAGAAATTACAAATCGATGTGAAATTTGTTCAAAGGCGCTTTCTTCTTTTTTTTATGGATGTCTATCCTTTTTTGAAATTAACATAGCAGTGTGGTTTCTCCTTTCTTTTTATTTTCTTTCTATCTTCTTTCAATTTTCAATTTCAGTTTACTATTTGATTCTTACATTATTTTCAAAATAAATGTAGTATGTATATATTTTATTAAAATAATTATAATTTAGAGATTTTAATTCAATTTAGTCCAACTGAAAAAAGACATTGATATCTTGAATTAAAGAATTAATATTTTCAAAGAAAGTGGATTGACGAGTCAATAAATAGAAAGATCAAAATATTTTAATATTTTATTTAACATTTATATAAGAAGTCTGAAAAACATTTCTCTCTCTCTCTCTCTCTCTCTCTCTCTCTCTCTCTCTCTTTAATTATTATTCCATAGCTCTTAAGATAAACATCATTGAATAAATTGTCTTTTCTCTGCTGTCTTTTATCTTAATTTGTTGACAAATCTATTAAATTTTTTAAATAAAATTTTAATATACACATTATTTTCTGAATAATAAACGATTAAAAATTTAAGTAGAAAGAAAAGAGAGACATATTGCTTCGATCTTTACGATTGTCAAGATTCATTGATCCTTGATTTCTTTCGCATGATACTGCAACAAAAGAGCATGTGGCCGTAGGATTCAACAGCAGCAACAGGATGCCATGGTATTCTCGCCTACAGTATCTTGTGCTGTAGAAGTCCGTGCCTTTACTTTCACTGCTGATCTGATCTAAGACACGTTGTCTCTCAGCGCAATCCTCCTGCATCCCAAAGAGCCGTCAGGCCAATCTAAATATCGTCTTATATCAGAACAGAAGATGAGTAATTGAGTAACGATTCGCGAATATCAATCGATCGAGCGCGATTACGCATCCTTTTCAATCACAATCGATCTGTTCCTTTTGCCTGCTGGACAATATCTTTGCTGTGCCATCAACAGTACGACCATTGGAATTTGAATTTACATCGCGCTGGGCGAAGACGAGCCGCGAATGCCAGAGGCATAAATTTCGCGAAATGCGTGTGTCGCGCGGACAATCGAGATATTGAAAATGATAAAGAGAGAGACACGAGGGAACGGCGACAAAAATAAAAATGTAGGGAAAATGTGATATGCGACGCTAAGATCATCTCCTAAACTACTTAATTAAATTTAAAAAAAAGGAAAAATTAGGCGGAGGATGTTGCTTGTTGTTTCTCCTCAAAGTTTGACTAAAGATGACAGAGAAAAAAGAAAAAAAAATGAACGAAAAAAATTGATTGAAATTTAATTATTCCTATCGGATTTCACGAAGAATAAATTTTGTATCCTGATAAAAAATCACACGCGTGATTATTTAACAACGTTATCCAAAAAACGATTAAATTAGCATAATGTTTTTGCTCGAAGCATTTTTAATATGTAAATTTAATAATATTATTATCATGGAATAGTGAACACGAAATAGAATATTTCTTGTTGCGATATATTAGTAGCGCAATGTAATATATTTTAATGAGATTTACGGTAATTACTCGAAAACGTGACGTTATCGAAACACAACCGAAACACAATCATTAGTTATCCAGAATTGCAGAATATTTATTCGAGACTCACCGTATATTGCATATGTTTTTTTTGCGAAAGAAAATAATATCCTCGAAAATATCGTCGCGTCAATTTATCGGGCAATGTGCATCGCCCCGTCACCGGCATATATGGAAAATGTTCCGCAATCGATGCAAGAAGGTGCGTCATTGCCCAAGAGATCGCCAACTCTTTTCCAAATCATGGCCTTTAACGTGGCTCGAAAAATATTGCTCTTTTTATAGTAGACAACGCAAGTGTGGCCATGTTTAAAAATTGCAATTTTTAATTATAAACGACAAAGGTGACAATATCGATAGTAAAATTATGTAATGTCTTGTCGCGCTCTATCTATGGTATAAATTATCTTTTATAAAAATACATTCGACGAGATTCAATTACCCAGCGGGCTTATACAAAGTACACGAGTAACGTGCCACTCAACGTTGCCTCCTTAAGTTTGTGTGAAACCTAAATCCGCGTATTTACGGTGTATTACACACGCGACGTGAGGGGGTGAGTATACGAGTATCATTAAGGATATGTCCGAGTCTCACACATATGCTATCGCGAACCGTGCACGGGTGGTTGTTGGCAGAGTGAGAGTGCCATATATATAGAGAGAAGGGGAAACTCGACTCGGCACTCCAAAGTACACAGCCTCCGCGATTACAGTGGTGTGCTCCTGCGGTTCCTTCTATTCTGTTGTCGCCTAATATCCATTCCTCGCGCCAGTGGTAATAATCAGCCACAGATAAGTGGTTTTCCGCACGTCGTAGCCGTCACCAAACAAGGGCACAACATCCGCAGAGCCAACACAATTTCTACCACAGGTCGTCGGCACCATGAAACTTACGTTATTCACGTGAGTACGCGCCGTTCACGGCTCACGATTCGAGACAATTTGTTATTCCGGTGTAAAAATAAAACCTGAAATTTATGAAATTTAGATATTAGAAAGATACGACATACGACATGTATGTATCCTAAAATAAATTTCGCAGTTTGTAGACTCTTACCTTATTCTTGCATCAAGCTCCCCAGCATTTCTCGCAATCTCTCCATAATAACCGAACGTAGTCGCAACCATGCACTTCTTTTGATAGTGTAACCGCAGGTGATTATACTCTTGCGCATAAATAATAAGTGTTCTTAATCGAACAGCTGTTTGGCGATATTATTAAATAGAAATAAGCGACACACGCAAAAACCTCTTCTTATGATATCTATTTATTTATATGAGCTAGATGCATCGTATTACTTGGCAATATCAAATGCTCTCTGATTGAAAGTGCAACAAAAAAGGATGCAAGAAAAATTAGGCATTGTTACACCAGCTAATTCTGATCATACCTATAGATTATGGATCAACCTCAATAATTCCAAGGCCAGTTACACATGCGCAATTGAAAGGTATACCTGCTACCCATGTGCACTCGTTGTCTCAGACAATATCTGTAATTGAAAATGCCCTGCCGGAAATTGCAGCTGCCAATAATTTTCGATCGTAAACGTAAATTGATTTACGACGTTCGATGGACAATATATTTCAAATCGTTTAGCATAGTATTTCCATAAGAATTGAAGATAATGTACTACGATTATTAGAATATGCTCTAATTTTGTAAGAAGTTATATAATTAATATGTTTTATAAGTCTCTGCTTATATTAATTATTTCGCGCTGAGCATTCCACAACATTTTTATTTCGATCAGATTCATAACCAGGCGGCTGCAAATTATATATACTTGTGCACATATATATATGTATAATAATGTATATCAATAACGCATGTGCAAAGAGACACGTTATGCAAACGTACGACTGCAGTAGGCCGTGTTCTTTCCTGGTTCGGACCAGGAAATTGATTAGAAAAGCTGTAATGGGAGAGCGACAGCGCATAACAACGATTATAACGAAAATCAATCAATATATGCATTATATTAGAAAAACAAAAAATTCACATGGTATAAATATCGTGGTTTCTCCTTGACATTATCCTAACGAATAATGCATATCAAGTTTTTTGCTTCATTATAAACCAGCGAAAAGAATAAAACAGAAAGACATTTATTATATGCTGAAACAAGCTTCCTCAACATGCAATAAAAATGCATTAAATGTAAATTTATAATACAGAATGAAGAAATAAATAAATGCTGAAACAGCTAAAAAGAAATTAAAAAACATAAGGAAAAGAAGCAGAAACAAGGTTGAAATATAAATTAAGCTGAAGAAAAAAATAAGAAAAAAGTGAACATAATATTTTAAATGCAAAAGAAATTTGAATATTTACTTTAAATATAATTTCCGATTTAAATCTTTATAAAAAAAGATTGAAAAATTATTCTTATACAAAATATGTTATTATAAAATTACAGGATGATTCTATTTTAATTAACAAGCGAGTTGGAAATGTTTAACATTTTATATGGCACGAGATACATTGTTCTACTTTAAGAATCTTTTTCAATTTAAAAAGAAAAAAAGCGTAAAGAGAAAGATGAGACTAAAATATAAGAAAGGATGACAGAGGAAGAGAGAAAGAAAGATGAAAGGGATAACGGCAACGAAACTTTCTTATGCACGACGGGAGCAATGCGTACTCATGCATTACGCTAACGATATCCTGTAGGTGGAATAATGCGAATGTAATCGCTTCCTTCCAAGGCAAAGCTCTAGCAAGTTCAGTGATCTCGTGACGCGACGGCAGGTATGATAAATTACTTTATTCCTGAGATATAAATAAATATTTGCAAAACATACGGTAGAATATTATGAGAAAATATATTCCATATTATGACAATTTCGTATTCCCCTGCATATGACGAAAATTATGCTTATTAATTATCACCTAGTGACTAGTCTAGTATATCGATTAACCGGTTAATTTTGATAAAATAAAAAGGTAGACTCGACAAGCATGAGAATAAATTGATTGCGTGAAACGTAATGAAAACAACTCTTTACGTCTTATTTTAACTTTTGTTTGAGATTTCTAAGTTGACTATTGTTACTCCATATTCGTATAACATGCTGCATTTTTAATTAAAGAACCTTTATATTTTTAAATTACAGAAAATTAGTATTTATAAGACGTCTTATTTATTCAAGTGTGCCTTATGAAGCAAATATGAAATAATTTTAATACCTTTGACAACAAATATTTGTTGTCCTCATTAACAATAAAAGCATATTGTGCAATAAATAATACATGATGAATAATGATGCTATTCCATTTCGAAGAACAGACGGATTTTTATCTATGATATATTCAGACAGAATGCTAATTAAATGCTAATTGACATATTTATAATATAAAAATCTTCATTAAAGATGTTATTATGCATTATAATGATGTGCGTTATTTTTCAATGAGCATATATATATATATATATATATATATATATATATATATATATATATAGAATATATATAGAATCTGTGGAATTTATCTTTCAGTTTTAACAAAGAGCTTAATCGTCGCTCGCGAATAAAGAACTTTTGTTGAATGGAGATAATGAAAAAGATGTTGGATCACGATTATAATCAAAAGCATCAAGAAATTATTAAAGATGAATTAGAAAAAAATCTCGAAACTATAAAAATAAAAAAAGAGTATTGAATTTTAGATATTGAACATCAGATATGACTTTTTCGGGAAAGAATTAAATAAAAAAATTAATACTAAATTAAATATATTCCAAAACGTGTCAGTATATATTAATAGCATCTTTTAATGACAAGTCAGAAATCGACAATGACAAAGTATTACTATTTAATGTCATAGATCATGCTATTCAATCTTACATGTTCTCCAATATTTTTAGTTTAGCTTGCTAATGAAAAATTACATTTGTACTAAAATCACATAAACTTGTGATACAAAGTTTTTATAGATTGTGAAACCATATCGAAGTAAAACGAACAATGTTTTTCGTCAAGATAAAAGTTTTGATAAAATCCGATTAATATACATCGCGGTTTTGTCGAAAGAAGATGTATCATGGAATTTACTCACGAATCCTGCACGAAATAACCAAGTTTAAGCATGTTGTAACACATTTCGAAAAGTCTGTTAGAAATTGAGGACGCGAATACAATGGTTTTGTAAATGCCAGCAGTTTTGTAAATCTGTTAATTTATTTTTATATTTAACATGAGAGCATCGCGGTAAAAATATTTTAAAAATTATATGCAAGTTGTTTATTTTCTGGCAATATGAGCTTAAAACTATGTTTGGAATTTTTAAGAATATAAACATATTTATTTGAAGAAGATGTAAGAGAAAATTTCGCAACTGTTATATAAACATAATAGAAATTTGTAATTTTTCTGTAAATAATTGTAAGAGAAATGTACATACTCGACGTGGATGCAACATGTGCGCTCCACGTGGTTAATGTACGTCTGCTACGTAAACACAATCATAATGTGTTAATGAATATATATGAAGGAATTAATTTAAATTAATCCCAAACGCAATTATTGTCATTACACTCAATAATTTAAAAAATAAAATTCTGACTTTGGGCAAGCTTCGAAAAACATTTAATTCACACGATTTTATAGAAATAATCGATTCATACAAAGATAATTATTCGAAAGAATGATTCTTTTCCAAGAAATAAAAAAATGCATAGGAATTATTATTAAAAAATATTTAATTTTACAGAAACAATATCTGTTGCAAAATATTCTTTCTCGAGCGATAGCGAATGCTCTCGTCATCTTTCAGAATGTCATCGCTGTTTTCGTTTCAATTCGCGTTTCGATTTCGTGTTTTCGCAATCGTTCGCGTGGATGTCCTATAGCGATCTATTAATCGGACTTTTGCGGATCCCAAATTTTGCCTTTCCTCCCTTCAACTCTCTTTTCTTACCTGGGGCCTCGAGTTCGGCTGGTTTTCTTGACATTTGTGAGCCACCTCACGTATATGAATGTCCCGTCGTAATGGCGCGGCCAATCCCGAACAGCGCGGCATACAAGTTGCACGAGCAGAGAAAGTAAGTCTCGTGTACGTGAATATCATAGGTCAAAATCCATCTGGTGTACACGGATCTACTATCACGCGAAGCGAACCAACACGCGTTGCGCCGAGCCACGCCGAGCATACATAATAATCGTTGCAGCGTACGTCTCTGGAGGAGATCTCTCGTCCTCGGATTCCTTTTTCCTGGCGAAAGTTGCGGTCGAGATTATTGTCCTGCATGTATCCTGCACAAAATGTCACAAACAATTGCTCGATACGTCTGTTCCAGGAAAGAATCTGTTGTCCTCTCGCGAATAAAAACTATTTAAAATAAGAAAGATAAAAGTCTAGAAGCTTATTTTTTAAAGAAAGTTAACAAAACTCTAAAATTACGAAAAAAACCAAGTTCTTATTAAATAAGAATGAAAATTTTTAGTCGAGTGGAAACTTGTGTATAAAAGTAATCTTTAACAGTTTAAAAGTCTTAAATAAAGATATGTTTAGAAATAATATCATAAGAATCAAGATATGGATTATATAAGAAAAAAAATTCTAGAGAGAATTCTATACCGCAAGAATATCTCCTGTTTTTTCAATTCCTAAAACTGCATAATCTCTCGTTCTCCAGCTTCTGAATTCTCAGGGCAATAATCTGACTTGCATATTTTGCTGTCTCCTAAGTGCAGCCTGTCAATTTAACCGCAATAAACTTGTTTCGTAGCGTTACGCCTGGTACTTGAATAACATATTTTTTTAAATACGCAACAGCACAGATTGTTTAGTGGTTTTAATATGATCTTTCGGTCTAGCGCCTTCCTTTTCAATCAAGAGGAAAATAATTTTCTAAGAACATAATCGGCATGCTGATCGCGTGCTGCAATCTTCAGTTATCTCGTACATGTAGTAAAACATTTTTCCATAATCTTGTAATATTAATTAATATCTGTATTTTGTTTTCGTATTAGATATACTCATTGCATTTTTGGATTCTTGAAAAGATTTCTATTTTAACATACCTGTAATTGAAGGAATTATTATATAAAAATATAAAGAATATAAAACTGTTACATGTCACCTTACCTTAAGCGAAGTGAAATATATAAAGCAGGCGTTAATATAAACAGAAATTATAATATAACGTGTTTTTTGCAGAATATTCGCTCTCTGTATAATAGCCGTCTGCAGATCAGCCGAAGAGGAATATGATTATGAGGAAGAAGTAGCAGCACCGGTGACGCCGGCACCGGCACCGGCAAAACCAGCAGGTGGTCGGCTAGGAGGTCTCTTATCCGCGAGAGGACGCCCAAATGTAGCACCTGTAGGGAAAAAAAAAGTATCACCGGTAAGTCTACCTATATTTTACATAAATGCAATGATTTATATCGAATATTTGCATTTATCTCAAATGGGGTGGATAATATTTTTAATATATATATAATAAAAAAACAAACAATATAAGACAAGATTTGCACAGACATACTATAAGAAAATCCTAAAAATCCTAATAATAGAATATAATCTTTTTCTGTTTTCTTTTTCTCTTCTATTTATTCTTTAGATTCAGTCAACGACATCGAAACCAGTAGAACAAGCACCCGAGGAAGAAGACGTAGAAAGTGAAGAAGGGCTTGAAGACAGTCAAGAACACGAAGCTCCGACGACAACGACTGAATCCGCGAAGAAGCTTCGTAATGCTGGTGGCGTCAGGCCCTTTAGGTAATTATTCGTAAAATACTTTCTTTGAATAATGTGTAATATGCAGACATTTTTTTAACAAATGTGCACATAATATAATTTCAGATCAAACGATGATCTCTTGGCTGCTCTAAAGAGGAGAAGAGCGCAGACCGGATCCAGCAGTCATTCACGAGAATCTGCTTCTACGCATTCTGCAGTAGAGCATACAACAGCTAAAACAAAGTAATGCAACATGATAAAAAAAGATTTATATTCTATACAAAATATTTATAACAATATATTATATTAATTCTTAACAACATAAAGTATTTTCTCATTTCAAAACAAAAATAAAATTGCAATAAATTTTCATATAAATGATTATTTCAACCATCGCGCAAATTTATCAGTGCGTCATATTTATATTGAAACAATGTGTTTCAGAGCTAGCACAAACAATCGTAGCAAAACTAACGCAGGGGGCGAAACAAGAACAACAGGACGCGGCAGGTTCGGAGGAAGAGGAAGTAAAGTTGTACAAGAGGAAGTCGAGGAAACTCAACAAGAGGAAGTCCAAGTGAAACCTAAAGCTTATCGCAGGGGTTAAATCAATCGTTACTCTGTGTGATGATACTTGTTTAAACTTGTTGATTTCTTAGAACATATATTAATCAAATTTGACGACTTAAACTATGTGTTCAAAAACTGTGTCGTCTTCTATATTGCAAAGTTCAAGACCTTTGTAAAACGATCTCGTCAATGAATTTTTCACAACAAATGTGCTACTGTTTTGGAGCAAAAATTCAATTTTCGAAGAATTCAACTCGAATTTATATAAATGAAAATATCACTCGAAGAATGGTGGACTTTGTTCGTGTTTTACCACACGACATCAAAAATATGAGCGATCAAGAAAAAGAGAAATTAGCATATCGATTATTATGATAGGTGCTAATCGAAAAGAACAAAGTCTTCCTCTTCGTTACCAAGTGTATATAGCAAAACGTTGCCATCCCCAAGTACTTAAATCATTTATCTATTATATAAATGTAAATTAATATGACAATAAAATATTTCTGGAAAAACAACTCTATTTAATGCCGTCCTTTAATTATTTTCGCAAGTTTAAAATAAATTTAAAATAATTACTGTAATTATATTATTTAAATATAGAGAGTAAAATATAAAATGTGATAAGCTCAAACGTTTATTTAAATTTAAATTAATATTAATATTTAAAAATGAAATCATAAGATATAAAATATAATGTTTCTTTTCACGAATGATATCAAAGTTTAAATAGTAATAACAAGATTTGAAATATAAGAAAAATATGTGTAACATGAATATAAGACATAATGGAAGCTTAGATTTATATGTGCGACAATGAAAAAGTCATTTTTAGTTGTGACGTTAAGAAAAATAAATTATTTATTAATCAACATATTTAAAAACTCTAGTAATAAGCATATTTAATTTTTAAATCGATCTGGCGCCAACGTTCTTCATTATTATCTCTTCACATTTTTCAAATATTTGGGTCATGCTAAAAAAAATGATAAATGATGCATACCTCGTGGAATGTGTACATTGGAGAAACTCCTACGATGACTCTTGGAATGTTGGAGGCGTTTGGTGCGTGCACTCCCGCATTCTTACGTTTCGCATTAAGCGAGAGAGAAAAAGTCAAATCACTCATCACTCCCAAAAGATTGGTATGATCGACCTATTTCTTCAAACAGTAATAACCTTTATAACACGCATTTAATATTTTTCATCTTTCGAAATATCTTTTTGCACACAAAATCACGACATACAGGAATTGTCTCGAGATATAGTAATGATGCGAATAATAATAAAAAAAAGTATCGGACAATCGACAGCATTGTATATTTTAATTTCACTCTCTTGCAGCACGGATTTTTAATACGAATAAAAGATGGCAAATTATAGGCAACAGGTAACAGGTTGCGAATTGATGGCTGATCGTCCAAAAGGAATGACCTATAGACGAGTAATTCGCCCGTGAGCACGAGAGCGCTGAACTTTAAAGTTTATCTTTGGTTCGATTTTACCGGACAAGATTCAAGATATCTGCCATTTGGGCTCTCCTCGCGTGCCACGCAGCCTTGGGACCAAGATGGGAGAGCCATGAACCGCCCAATAATCCGAGAGAGAGTGCGTATAGAATGCTAGAAAACGAGAAGAAACCAAGGAGAGAAGAAGAGAGAGAGAGAAAGGTGGCTTTCGCGATCGAGGTCCATAAGAGCAGAGGTATAGGACGGGCAGAAAAGTGAGAGGAAGTCATCTGGTCGGCCTTGAAGCCTTTACGAGGAACATTTCACTCACAAAGAACATCCAAGTCGTGTCATGACATCGGGATGCCACGTTTCGGCCACGAATGACGAAAAGAAAAGGTGAGAAAGAAAGGAAAAAAACGAAAGTGACCTCAGATCACAAGCAACGATGTTATTTCTGAAATCAGAAAAGAAAAATGTTAATTATATATAGATAAATCAAATGGAGCATCTTCATTGCTAAAAATTGCAAAAATCTTGTAAGTAAAAAGATTAATATTTTTCACTATAATCATATTTACATTTATATTATGACAAAAAAAGTGAATACATGTATTAATGTCAAATTGTTCCAAAGATAATATTCAAGATTAAATGTAATAGATAATTTTAAATTTTTTCCTGAAAAAAAAAAATCTAAATTTGATAGATTTTAATATCATAACAATAATCTTTTTATCGTAAATCTGTTTTGATTTCTAAATGATTAATATTAATTAATAATATGACTTGATTAATATTAATTAATAATATTAATTAATATTAATCTTTATATATTTGAAATATAAAAAGCTATCTAATATGACAAACTATACCGCAAATCAATGCAATAAATTACATTAACATTATTTTACATTATTACTGTTAATTAGCATAGCAATTTCAATGAAATTTCAATACTTATTTTAATATTTCATTATAATAATAAATAATTATCATGAAATGCGTAATCGGTAGAAGATTTTATCCAAGATTTTATTCCGTTCCAGAATAATCGAGCCATGTTCTCTTTATCCTTGATCTGGCGACACTCCATTAGGAATTTCCCATCTTCGTCTTTAATGTAACTATCTGCCACCCTCGCCACCCTCACAGCGAAATCGTTATAGCTAGTTGTTCCTAAGAAAGAAAAGTACGATTTCCGTCTTGGAAAAAAATAGTGCGCAGTGAAAGGAGAGAAATTTTGATGTCGTGATCTCTTGGATTGCACGCGCAAACCTCTCTGTCGACACGGAAAGGTGTATTACCTGTTATATACTGTTATTATGGCAAAGGTTAAATCTAACTTCATCTTGGAACATCATGCATTCTTTCTGATCGAGTCTTTGTCTACAAATTTTATACTAAATTTGTGGACAACGGATGTTGTATAAAACACTATCAGCAACTTTCTTTCATTCTAACACATGTTGATAATTATGTTTCAAGTTTAATTAAGTAATAAAGAATGCTAAGTTAATTCTATTCTATAAAATTAAAATCTAATTAAAATAAAACAGGAATTTATGTATGAGCATACACATATATGTGCGCATGTCACTTATTTTTAAATCTTTGTTATAATGATGAAATAATTGTATAAGTATATTCGCATTAAATTGCATTATATCGTCAGATTACATTCAATTATATAACTAAATATAATTGTTTGAGATGGTTACAATATACAACTTTTAAATGTGAACAGGAATATATCCGTGAGCAATGCAACGAGTCTTCACTTGACCTTTCGATAATGCCGTAAGAAAAATTGCAAGAGAAATCACATTTATATAAATTATGTATAATGTGTATATTTCTAAATATAAATTGGAATTGTAAATTAATTTCAAGTTCGACTTTTTCAAGATTTTTCGACTTTTTTAGATTTAAAATAAGTACAAATATAAATATATAAATTATTTAAAATAAATATAATAATATTATCAATAGAAGAAATGCTCTCCCGCGGCAGGTATGATTCTGTAATTATATACATGGATTTCAACGAATTGCAATCGCGTCCGCTGTCGCCAACAACAAATGGTCATTGCGACATGAGGAAATAATTATGGAAATACGTGTATTATAACTCAGCGCATATTGCACAAATTGTAGCAATGCATATCCTTTAAGAACAAATAAGTATGTTTGTCGATTGCACGCTAAGATAACTTGTAATTATACTTTATTTGCAAGAAATGTTGCATTAAGAAGAGATTCTTGATCTATTATTCTTCACGAGACGAAGGATTACTCAAGAAACCGTCAAGATGACGCGAACATATTCATTTCAAGATTAGGTAATAAGTATATTAATATAAGTTACCTATAATGTAACGTTAATGTAACTCAATAACAAATAATTTGCAAACAAATTCCATACAAGTATTATATTTTTTCAATGTTAAAAATAAAATAAAATGAAATTATTTTCTATTTTCTAAAAATAATATCAAAGAGATTTATGGAATCTTTATTCGCACTTCATTATTTTAAATACAATATTCTGCACAATGAGAATCAAATTATTATTATTCTTCAATCTAATAATAATTCTAAAACAATATTCATTCTTGTGCAAACTAAATAAATTTTTATTAATTTTTTTATACATTGAAAAATTGCATGTCACACACATATTGACCGTTTAATTAATCTATCTGACATCGATTTTTACAATCACAAACACGTCTCATTCATCATAGTCTTCCTTTCGCGCGTCAAAGAAAAAATCAAGATAAGAATCATAAAGTTAATGTTAACGAGCAAGTCCGCAATTAAAGTTACATCCTAATCAATGTACGAGAATAACACGAGATTGTAAAATAAAAATAAAATACGCGGAGAGAGGAAGAGGAAAGGACTTTCTCTCAATCGGTGGAGGAGATCCTTTTCGCTTTCCCTGATACCGCATCCGGCCAGGCACATTGAACATGCAGGACCAACACGAGAATAAAAATGCGCGATAATAAAAGTGAAAAAAGTAATTATTAAACTGTATTATATATCCCAATAAATCTGACAGAGAGAATTTTTCACGCAAACAGCGTATTATTACGCGATTGAAACGAGAAAGTAGAAATTATACAAAGTTATTCGATAAAATCGGAATTACCGTTACAAATCTATAATTGTTAAATCGACTAACGCTTGCCTAACAACGACTACAATGATAAATCCACATAATTATCAACTAAAGCTACTCGATTTTTTTTTGTTCAATTTCTTACTCAACATTTTACGCTTAAATATCCGCTTAAATATCCGATTGTGTAATGCATAAATGCGAATCATTCGCAAAGTATGAATGTCATATTCTTGAGAAATACGAAAGATAAAAATAGAATTAAAAATGAAATTAAAAGTATAAATGGAATTAATATATTAATTCGAGAATAAGCGATATGTACATGAGTGACAATATAATTATAACGTTTTCGACACGACCACCATTGTAATACATATTAGGCATCCATACGATACGCAAGTATTACATGTTGCGTCAGTATGTCAATGTTAAGGTCACTACTCAAGGTATGACAAAACTAATCATCAATAAAGAAGTGATGCTCCTCTTATGTTATTTCATAATATTATACTTTGCATAATAAATTGAAGAGCGAACAAGATTCTTTTTAATCATTGAAAATGCCATTTGATCTCTTTTAAAAATTTTAATAGAAAAATCATCAATATCTTTATATCGAAATAATATTATTGCCATTATTTTTGCCTCTTTATTTATTTCCTCTTAATCGAATAATAGTTCTACGACACAATAGTAGAACGACACCTACCCGTGCGTACGTTATGTGCATAAAACGAAATGTAGAACTTTGCGATCATTGTAAAGTGGGTCAAGTTGATATCCGGTTTCGCGAAACCGGAATACTTGGCCATGTGCAAAATCTTTCTCTACAAGTGCTTCTTGATCGATATTTCATAAAGCACGTTAATAGCGCGCGTTAGATTAGATACATTATTTAGATGTATCATATCTACGAAATAGGAGAATGAAAATTCAGATTTAAAAAAAATGACAACAAAGATCTGGTTAAATCTAGTTTCATCGATGACTTTTAAATTTCACGGAAAATATGTTGTTCCAAGTTGTAATAGATTAAAAACAAACTAAACAGAAAATAGTCTATTGTAATAACAAGTGTAAATTAAAATGATGAAGATAAAAATGTCACTGTTCTCTTTTTAAAAAAAGAAACTGTCAAACAAAATATAATAATTAGTTCTCTCATAATTTACCAGTTTTATCTCGATTATTGTGTTTATGATAAAAAAAACAAATTAGCATTTACGTAAGGAAATGCAATGATCATTTGAATATAAGAGAAATAAAGATATCCGGTTGCTTTCACGCGACAAATGTCGCGCGTCTTCCATAAGCTCGTGACAAATGTCACTTTGCAAATGGAAAACGCAAAGATTATTTCACGAGAGACGCGTACATGTTATTAGTTGACTCACGTCAAACGAGAGAGTATCGGGACGCTGAAGAGGAAAACGCCTGGACCGGTCGATCTCCCTGATAAAAGCGAGTAGGAGGCACTTTCCATGAAATTCCTTTAGGCGCCACAACGGATTTCATCATCGTCTGCCAACGAAATCGAAAACGAAAATTATTACTATCGCTTATTTATTGATGACGGCGAAAGCCCTTGACTCGGCCTTGTAAAAAATGGGCACAGTAAACAAGATTCAGAGAAATTTGTTTCGTAAAAATACGAAAATTTTCTCCAGTCACATTAATTGATCGAAAAAATTTAAAAACTTTTTATATCACTTTCCATTCTCTGTTTCTGTTGCACGTGTGAACAAATATCGAAATATAATTATATTATTATGAATGCAATGTCATACACTTGCAAATCAAATCCATTAATAAATACCGATAAAATTTTCGGCCTATTTCCACGTCCTATTATAAAGTCGTGCAGCACACTACATAGACGATTTTCGCCAATGACGCCATTGTTTTCGCGCCTTCTCATTAATATTTATACGCACCTTGGAAATTCCGGTCCTATCCCGTCCTTAACATTGAATGGCTTAGTCGTGTCCAATTTTAGATATGCGAAAAGATATTTTGCAACGTCGAGATTTCACTTTGACTTATCGCATTCTTCAAAGATTCTGCAAATAGCTATCTACAATTAAAAAAATTTACATGTAACTATACTGATTTCTTATCATCAATATAAATAAAATATGTAGTTAATATAAAATAATTAATATATAAAACATTGTTCTAAAAAACTGAAATAAATGTGATGTATAATAAATATGTCACGTCTTATTGCTCATTACATTTTTTATATCATTATTGTAAATTATTAATTTCTTTATATGTAATATAAAAATGTATATTTTTAGTAAAAGTTTGAATAAAAAAACATCTTATATATAGAAATTATGAATAACGATCAATTATATTAATTGAATGTTTCAACAAAAATACATAATTCATGCTTCACATTTCTCGATAATAGAAACGACAAATATATATGTATCAAGAGAAAACAAAGTTTGTGTAAAAGTGAATCCGAATTGCAAACGGCACTTTCTGTACCTCATTGGCTTAACAGCTGCTTGTTTGATTATTCAGCAACTCTAGTAATCCTTTTACGTTTAATCGGTTTCGTTTGATGTTCAAACGTGCGATTACTCGAAATGCTGACTTCTCTGGCGAATCGCCATCTTTTACAATACTTTTACATGAATTAATCACGTTTCATGTTCCTCAGTAAATTGTGTGCGATCAAAACGTCAACTTTCTAGTTTTATAGTTGAAAATCTCTAAAGATATCTTGCTCTATTTTTCATTTCATACAATGATTGACAGGAAGACGAATCTGTAACTCTCTATAATTACAATATATATTACGATCAAGAGCTTATTGCAGATGAATTACAAATTATATATATTTTTTAAACATTTATAATTGAACTTTACTTCGCATCGTTTATATTTTATATTTGATAATTAAACATGAGATAAACGATGAAAAAATCGCAGATAAAGACAGGCTTTCCATCGAGTTTGGAAAGTCTCAATAATACATACGTGTTAAAGGTGTCTTTACATTCGGAGGCGCTATGGATTCTGGTCGAGTATATCGAGATATAACTGCTTTTCGAAAGTATTGGGAAAACAGTTGGTCCTTTAAAGGTCGATTGGGATGCAGTCCAAGTTCCGCGAAAGTGCAGTCAAGGTTCTTCGTTTCCCTCGAACATACGAATGTATATATATCAATGATTTCGATTCTGTTAAAGTGCACGCGTATGTGTACCAATGACCTCGGCTTGAAGAAACACGCGATCGAGATCGAGAACCGTTTCAAAGCGGTGCTGGCAACGGCAAGTCCTTCATTTTATCGATAGAAAGAAAGAGCACATCACTTACAATCGATGGGCAAAGTGTATTGAGTCGTTTTACCTACATTTCATGTCTAGTAAATTTATAATAAATTATATCTCTTTGCAATATATTTTTCTAATAACTCACAAATAAATTTTCAAGCATTTTCATGTCCGTCCTTCGTGTCTTCTGCCCCTTCCATTGATAGATGCCGAGTGTAAGAAACGCTCAACGTGATTTTACGTCTCGACGAACATAAAGCAGACAAGTGCCAGACGAGTGCAGAAATGTTATTAATGCGGGAAGTCGTCCCTGAGATTTTATAATTTTTTTCTCTTTGTTGACGTGCGATTTATTTGCCGCGGTTTCGATTTTGTCAGCGTGATCGAAGTCATTATTATTCGATACAAGGCTACTGAACAACGGTAATTTTCACGTGTACACTGCATCAGAAGCGTATTTACAGCACGCAATGTCAATGACCTCCCGTATTTAGCCTTCGACTTGCATGTAGAAGGTCCGTCGTTGCAGCGGATATTGAACGCGTCGCGATGAATAGCAATTATCTTCAAGTTAATTCAACGTCTATACAAATTTTAAATATAGGCATCATAAATAACTTCTCGTTTCTGTATGAACAGAAAAAAGATATCGACATCGATATGTCGGTCTAGTTTTAGATTCTAACTAAAAATTTATAATAGAAATTTCATTCTTAGTTGGCTTCTTTTCTTACTATTCTTACGTAGTAAATCTGGCGATTCAAATATTGTTTTTTACAAGCTCTCCGTTCCGTACGATGCACAATGCAATATTTGAGAGTTATACTGGTCTACGTAAGCAAGGAGCTTGTTCCGACGATTGAACCTCGTAGTTATGTCACCCCATTCGTGGTGTAATAACTCGTCGAAAAAAGACATTGTTCTCCCGCATTTCGCGTGCTTACATACCCGAGAAGCACGCACGGGTGCTCTCCTTGTCAAGAGAAAGTCTCGTAGATATATGTACACACACATACATCATTCATTACGTGTAAATTTATACGCCTACGGAGAATCACCGCGGATTCTCTTCTGGTCGCATACCTGCGAGTTGCAAGCCATAGTTAAAACGCAAAATAAAAAAAATCAATGTTTGATAGGTAACTTATATATCTTACCAATAATTACATATTCAAGAAACAAGAACATATTAAAAAATTCTATTCCTCATGGGAGTCTTGTAAAGTTATAGAGTTAGAATTATGAACAACTTCTGAATTGAGTTTCATTTTTCAGTTCGTATTTTTATACCTAATTTTTTTGCTTCTCAAATATAAATTTATTCACGAAATAATTATTATAGAGTAAAATAATTGTGGCAATACGGTAAACAACTATGAAAGTGTGTCTTGTATCTATGAATATATGATAAGAAACATGAAATTTGCAAACGCGATTAATGCAAAATATCCTAATAATAGAACTAATAGCAATACGCGCATGCGACAAAGTGAACGCTGACTACGTTCCAACCTTGATGCAAAGTATAATACTGTTACGGATAAAATTGCATTTATCTTCGCGTTCACTGACATTACATTTGCTCATTTTCAATTTCCAAATGATTTTGTTTTTCTCTCTCTAAATATTATATTGCATTGCACATATTTGAAAAAAAGTTTCTCTTTTTTTTCTAATTCTTCTATCACATGAGAAATATTTTGCTTCAGATATTTCACGCAAGTGTATATTTAATATGCATATGTTTAAACTTCTATGTTCTGTTGTTTTGTTAAAATAATTCTTAAAAAAAAAACAACTGCATCAATATATAAGTGTTTAATATTCTCTGGCTCACGAAATATCATAGTCTGGTCCTTTGGCATTCTTCTTACGCAATGGAGACGCAGAAATCTTTAACACCGCAGCCGTCTTCTGATTCTCGGCTTGACACTCCAGACTGGATATAATTTATATGGCTGTCGGTTTCACTGAGCCTTGACACCTACAATGATGATTGACATTACTATCTTTGTGAATTATCGTTGAAAAAGTTTGCCAGTCTTGCGTGATTCTTCGCTAACGAGATTAACACGAATCAAATCTCGATATTTAAAAAACAAGAATATTTTATGATAACAAATAAGTTTTCTCATTTAAAGGAAAATAAAAATAGAACTTGAAAGAAAACTTCTCTTTTGCCGAGAAGATGCTGCAGTAGCTTATGACTCCAATAAAAATGATTGATTCTTTCAAACGCGTTTTGCTTTCGGCATTTTTGGCGGTGGACTTATTTTTGCGTTGTTTTGCTAGTTATTGAAAAAGACAAGAGCTTATTTTGGAAAAGAAGAACTTTTATATTTCACGGACTCGTGCTCTTCTTTTGTCATAGTTCTACGATAGAATAGTTCCGATGCGATCAGTTCCGTATTCCTAATGAGAAAACCGCTTTTTCGATGTAGTTAATTCAAGCGAAACTGCATTTTGCGAAAGCATCTGTTTTAATCGAGATGTTCCACGAAATCTCTTCATGCGCATCTTCAACTGGAGAAGAGTCTAAGAGAGAAACGGTAAGCTAAGATTACGTAATGTGTTAACATTAACAACAGAAAAATTTTAGAAGCATCTAGCCCAGTAAGCAGAAAATAATCGAAATAAGTATCGATAATCCCGGATATACATTACGCTTGAGACTTGCTAATTATTTTTTTAAATAAGACATTATTCTCGCGTATCTTTAGCGTGAAAATCTCAGCTCGTCAAAATTTCCCGTCATTTTCAATTCTTGATTAAAGATAAAACAAGACAATACATGTATAATAATTAAACTTTTTAGTAGAAACAATGCTTGGCGAAATTAAATCAGACGAGAGAAGTCGGATCGAAAGCTAAGCTGCTAGAGAGGCAAACGTCAGCCAGGATCTTCCCGATGACCTCCTGGTGTATAGACGGAAACTTGTGCCAAGCTGAATCGAGTCGACTTCGACGTGGTGTGTCCACTTTTAAGTTGGTGGGGTGTTCTCCAGGAGGACGTGGTGGGTGGCGGTATAAGTAGAGGCCTGCATTCGCCACCGTTCTCATACCCTCACCACGTCCTTCGGCTACCTCTTACTTTTACTTAATACCCCTTTTTCCATTTTTTTTTCTTTCTCTTTCTCTCTCTTTCTCCCTCCCTCTCTCTCTCTTCTTCTGTCTGCCTTTCCATACACACGTGCACTCTCACTCGATCTTTCCTTCTCTTCGTCTGTCTCGGTGCGTCCGCCTTGCCGTTCGCTAGCTTGCTCGATCGTTCGTTCATTCGTTTCGCGCCTCGTCGGCGAAGTCACGTCACGAAACTGTACATAGGTCACGTCCTGCAGAAACGGCTCACCCAGTGAACAATTGACAACGGATCAACGGTAAATCTCTTTGCGTCCGACTAGAGGTCCCAGTGTTGATCACGACTGATCGGAAAAAAAAAGACAGAGATGATCGCGAGTGCCCGGTGACAATATATAAAATTCGATAGTAATCGCAGAGAAAGTATATATCGATATTATCAAAAGAGTGCCAATATAAATTAGACAGTACGAACTGATTCATCGAGAAGTTTTGTTTTTGACACTACCTGTTTCACGGAAGTAAGACGAAGAGAGGCGAGGAGAACAGTATCTAGTGCAGACATGTGGCTCAGAAGCGTGCTTTTGTGAGTACTCCAATCAATGCAATTAATCCTTTACATTTCCTCCATTTATAATATCTGGCAACGATCTCATAATCAGTAAGAAATTAAATTCTTGTGTAAATAAATCTGTGGAAAATTTAAACATTATTAAATTGACCATTGTAGAAGAGACGCTATGTCAAATTCTTATTTTCTAGAAAATAATTTGATGCTGTAAAAATATCGTATGCATTTAACTTTTTTTTTAGACATAAATGCTTAAGAGAAAAGAAAAGATTAGGCTCAGATTTGCAATATGTTTCTCGTCTAAATCTCAATTTCACACAAACTTTCTTGTTACATGCATTGAAAAAAATAATTGAGTTTTAATCGACACTTCGTGCGTACTTTGATGCACTCGCTATCTAGCAACATGCTATGCATTTTACTTGTATAAATTATTTCCTATTTATTTCTATACAAATATTTCATTGAATATTTATAATTTTCTATATATTTTTTACTAACTTTTGCTTTTTTACATTATAATTTCATAATATCTACATGGTTAATACAAAAAATTAACATTGCAACTTGCTTAGAAATGTGAGATAAAACTGTGTAATTTTAATCACTCTTATCGTAATTTTTAACGTTAGCGATTATTGGAAAAAATTATATAATAAGAATATGCCAATATATCGAGAAAATTACCCTACAATGTTTTTAAGACTTGTATCAATATCAGTTTTTGCTATAGCTTGTACTCGAGAAGTGAAAAAGATCTTGTTCAAAACTCTTACTTTGATTTATGATTAATGATTATAAATGAGTATCGATTTGAAAGAAAGCAACTTTTCATGGACAAGAGATATTACGCTTCTGAGTTACGAGAGTTATCGTAGCGAAAGGTGCGTACACACAATCAACGACTCACTCTCTTGTTAGATACGCCGATTACAAAGTTTCATTCAGAAGAATGTATATATATAATTTACTTAAGAGAAACTTTTAAACACATGTAGTGCTTTCAATTTTAAACTGTCAATCAAAAATAGAAATCAGTTTAATTGGATCATAGTCATATGTGATAATCTAATTATATACAACTTAATATCCTTTAAATATAAAAAGGTGATTAATTATAAATACATTTCAAATATTATTTCAAATATTATATCAAATATAAAAAATATAATAAGAGAATATATATAACAAATGTAAAGAAAGAGGAGAAAGATTTATTAATATATGCATTATATATATATATATATATATATATATATATATATATATATATATATAAACATATTTAATTTTTTAAAATTCATATATACTCATATAAAAAATATCTTTATCCAAATTAAAAGTATATAGATAAGTAATACGGATAGAAAGAAAAGTAACATAGATTCAATATTAATGTTGAATCAAATTAAATTAATTTTATTTATCAGAGATTTTTTTAAACGAAACTTATCACGAAGTAAAATAAGCTAGTAATAGTCAGACAATCATCCACACTTAGGATTCATGTTACTTTCAAGTTTGGCGAGAGCGCCATAAATGCATGAAGTTATACCGTTCTTCTTAGCGAAATTATTACATTAGTTGCATTCTAATTTCATAGTATGTTTTATAATAATCTGACATACAATCTGTTTGATAAAAAAAAGAAAGCTATTTATTTAATTATAATAATAAGATAACAATGTACGTAAGAAAAATATTCTTTCTGATAATAAAAATTCTTTCTGATCCGTATACATATATTTCTCTAATCAATTATAATTTTAAATAATTTTATTATTGTTTTATACAATATATTTGTACGTATAATTGAAAATATTAGACAAAACTGATTGTGTAGGCAGTAGAAAGTTTAGCTCAACAGATCACTGCGCCTTGAAGTACTTCATTACTTACATTGCTATTTTATGTACTATTAGCAAATATAGACTGCAAATATTGCGATAGTCTTGTCAAAAAAAGTAACTGATAAATATAACATGTCTATTACTAAAACATCAGATAAAATCATAAATTAATCCTAAAATTAGTCCTATAAAATTAATGGTGGAATATTAAAAAATTTGAATTCCTAGAAAATTCTTAGAATATTAAAAAAATATTTTAATTCAGTTTTTAATTGATTTTTATGAAAAAGTTTCACAATGCTATAAAATTGTCATTAAATCTTTGAATATAATTAAAATGTTGCACAAGAAATATAAATATATTTTTCTTCACTTATGAATTAGATAAGGGCGCGGAGAAAATTGAAAGAAATTCTAAATTATTCAATTTTTGCATCCTTTTTTGATTGACTCAACAAATTTATGTGTAGAGAATAGCATTTCGTAGGCGATATAAAAAAATACGTATTTACGAGTTAGTAATAGGTTTTTGCGGTAATATTATGACTTATGTAACGACAGTGTCTCGTGCCACTGGAGATACCTACGTATGCAGTATGTTTATGCAGATATGCTTGTATGCGAGACCACTTTCTCCATATGGTTTCACGATAAATTCCAGCATGAAGCCTCCATCTTCAGTGTAAAATTGAGTTATGGAACGTCTCGTTATGTCTCCTACTTCCTTCATTATCAAACTGGAAATTTTTGCTTATCTTACATCTCGCAACAAGATTTGGCAATCGGAAAATTTAAAATAATTTAAAACTTGCATAAACATAGAAAGAGAAAGAGAGAGGGAGGAGGATATAATCAAATCCAAAAGGACTAACCAGGAAGCTAATCAAAATCAATAACTATTTCCATTTGGGTGAAAATAATTTGGAAAAAGAACAACTTTTTCTAACAGTCTATTAACTTGTGAAAAAATTCATTTTTTTTTCTAAATCTATGAATTCTATTTTTTTCAAGAATAAATCAAGGTATACCTAAAAAAATTTTTTTAAATTAAATATTAAATGTCGAGTAATCAAAAATTATTTATAGGTAACGCGCGATTGCAAAATTTCAGTAATCTGTTTCAAATTACATATTGAAATAGAAAGCTAAAATTTGAGATTGCCGCAAAAAAATTTTGAAACCAAAAATACTCCTAAAGTAATGAAAAAAGTTGTGAATTAAGCTTAAAAAACTGACCAAGTACAATCACTTATTAATCTTATATTTGATCCGATTGTACACTATGAACAAAGGAAGTGAAGAAAGTGTCTTATAATTCGTTCTACTTTATTTGCAAATGTATTCCGGTTGTAAGTTATTCTTGTATACCGGAAGATCATTCGAATGGAACGGTGAGTGCATTCAGCAGCGATTTCTTATCATCGTATACTTATTTCTTTGCTCTATGAATATAGCAAATTAATAACATAATAATGAATTCACGTGATTAACGTTAATGTGATAAAACCAAAATGTTTCCTTTTGATTTTATCCATCGAAAAAGATTTTTATAAAAAGATATAACAGTAAGATTAGTAATGATAGAGCAAAATCACACACGATGAATAAAATATGAAATATATTAATTCTTTTCTCACACAATTTTTTTCAAAAGATGTTTTATTTTTACAAACTGTATGATTTGCATTTTTAATATAAAAATGATAATAGAGAGGTAAATTATAACTGACGATTAAAAAATATTAAAATCATCCTAATAGTTTTACATTAAAAGAATATAAACGATATTACCAGAGAAACTGCTTTTTTAAAATGTCAATTCCGTTTTGATCACATAACGGCCTTGCAACGACCATATATTTTGCCAAAGAAAAAAAAATCCCGGACATTTGTATTAATTTCAAAAGCGGCTCTCCTTCATTTACGGAGGAAATTAATTTGCAAATATAATGCTATGAAATTAAAAGATTATCATTCTCTCGTTGCTTTTTCTACGACCTCGTGCGAAACTGGTCTCTAATCTTTTTCTAAGAAAATTATAAGAAGTTCTTTATTCACACGAGAGAAACTGCCTTTAGGAAATGTTTCTAAAATGTCGAAATTTTATCGATATTATATGTCATAATAAGAAAGTAAATATTAATATAGTAAAAGTTTATCTGGGAAGATATTCCGTTATATGTTCCGCAATCAATCTCGTGCATCTTGACAGAAAAGCGAATGAGATTGCATTAAAAGTACTTAATATTTTTTTCTATATAAATTAGTAATAAAAAGATTTTCTATAAAAAAATGTCAAGTTCATTATTTTTATTTCTACAAATGATATTTTGATTCAACAAAGCAAATATTATATAAAATAAAAATAAGCTACTTTTTCATTTTTATATAAAGTTACAAAATTTTATAAATCCTTGAAATATTTTTGTCGTGTTAGCGTATTTAAGTTTTAATTTTCGCATAATAGACTATGAAGGATCGAGTTAAGAGAACCGAACAAGTTGGATTCAGTTCACGGTTCCGAGGATCAGATGTGAACTTTCACCATGTCAGGCTTTGTATTAGCTATACACATTCCTTCGTCATTTACATTTCACCTCTTTACATCTCATATGTACGTCTTATCACTTTCGCGAATAATATCTCGTTGTTCCATACAATGTTATGATAATTTTCTCCCTTTTTCTCTTTATATTAATCATACATTCATATAGATCTGTATACCTAAATATTAATAGCAGAACAAGTTTTACATTAAATCAATCAAAAATTTCGTTTTAATTTTAATAAGTATCAAAGAATTTTATTTGCATCGTAATGTTATAGTATGTTTAAGTTTAAAAAAGATTTTTGTTGCCATGTGTGTATGTAAAAAGTATTTATAAAAACTTATATATTTATAAAAACTTATAGTTAAATATTTTGCGAAATTAAAAAATAACCAATGTAGATATATTATAGCATATCCTTGTATGAAAACTTACAGAATATATGGCGTCATTGCGTGCACGTTAGCTGACAATCCATCGGATATTGTGCCAGTATCCGGTGACAATTTGATTCGAACAAAATATGTTGCGGCAACAACGTATCAGCCTCCCCGAGCTGTTAAAATTGAAGGTATTTATTTATTTTATATATATATATATATATATATATATATATTATCTAATTTAAAGAAAAATTAATTATATTATAATAAATATTAATATATTAATTCACAAATATTCTCAAATGCAAAACAAATTAATTTAGCACATTTAACAAATAAAATAAAAATACAACACAATTTTGATAAAATTTCAGAATTCGTGACATCACATAAATTGCCGGAAAATGTACCAAGACCATCTGATGATGATGAATATTTTGACGATAAAAAAGTTGTGCTTAAAGATAATAAATATGTTAAAAAAGTTATTCAAAAATTCGAGAATAATGAAAAAAAAGCGACACTCGAACCTGTCCGACGTTTAGATTCAGACGCGGATGATGACTTGGAAATTCTCAGTGCTAAAGGGCAAGCACAAGTGGAGCTCGAAAATTTTAGCGATACTGGAAAGGTTTTACAGGATGAAAAAATAAAGAAAGTTGACTCTAAAAGACCGTCAAGTGAACAGGACGAGGTTATTCCAGGAGTTTACGTTAGGTAAAACATTTTTGTTGCTCGCACAATTTCCATTAATGAAATGTATATATACGTTAATACATTTCTGATTATACAATTAACGAACAATTAATTGATGCATAACATGAGTACTTGTATTTTAATTATTATCATTCCTTGATATTTTCTCCATGTCTTTGTATACATCTAAAACAAATGCAAAGTATTTTAATTCTTGTTTGAGAGATATTTCTTTTTACTACAAATTACAAGTTTAGTTATGTAACTTTTAATTTTTAATATAATTTTAATACAACTTTCACAATTTTATAATATAATTATATACAAGAGAATGTAATAATAAAAGACAAAAATTTTGAAATGTTTTTCGCTTTAATAACGATGTCATATTTTTGCCCATTTTCAGCGCAGAATATGCAACAACTATGTTACCTGTTCTCACAACCTCACGTGAAGCGCATGGTAAAGAGAGTCCTTTCGATTTTATTCCCGTAAACATTATTCGCGAAGATAGCAAAAATAGTTATGCACATTTTTCGGATGCAAATTTTGGAGACTTGAGTGACGTAAGCCTGATACCGGCTGGTACAAATTCTCGTATTCAGGTATTACGAATATCATGAATTAATTATATTTTTTCTTCTTTTATATTTATATTTATTTTAGTAAATTAAAATGCAATAGATGAAAATTATTTTTATTAATATTATAATGCATATATAATCCTATTTCTTCAGAAAACATTTCTAATGATATAATTTGTGTATATGTATTAAAAAATATATATCATTTTCTTTCTTGTGAATTTTTTCAAAATAGCACTTTGATTAAATTAATATTTGATTAAATTACTTACTTAATTACTTACTTGCTTATTTCTTATACTTGACAGGTGAAAAAAGGACCAAATGGCAAAGACTATGAATACGAATATGTATATTACTATTACGACGAGGAGGATGAAAACAAAGCAGGTACGGCAGGTTCAGCTGTGACGAATTCTTACGACATTCCTTCCAGAACAACCTCCGCACCTAGAAGAGGAGGCATTGTCAGTAACAGAAGTAAATACAATACCGTAGAAAGATCGAGCACCGTGGAACCTAGCAACAATGAGGTCATCCCGAATAAAAATGGCAATAGAGGCAGACAATTGCTTGAAACCGAAGACGTCTCCGAGGAAAGGCTACCTGCAAATACACGTTTTCCTCCAAGGTATATACATATATTGCAATTAATATAGCATTTAAACATAACTCACTAATTAAAAAACTCATTAATTAAACATCATTACATAATTCATTACATCATTACATTTACATAACTTATTAATCAAATATTAAATTTGGTTATATAAAATTTTTGCAATTAATTTTTAAACTGTTATCGAGTGATAAAAAAATGTTTTAAGATAGCAATAAAAATTTATATCTATATTTTGTAACATAATGTATGTACATAGATTTCTATGTTTCCTGTTTCTTTTATTTTTGCTATATTTAGGATTTTTTAATTTTTTAAAATTTATCAAAGATTATGCTTTAATAACAATACCTGATTGTTGTGTGTTAACAGATCGCGATCAAATCATAACACAGCTACAACGGAATCTTCGCGAGGCCGTAGTAATCGACCGCGACCAGGTTTGGATCTAGTTGATTCCAGCAGCTTCCGGACTCATCAGGAAGGTCCTGAATTTCCGCAAACTTTGCCAAAGGGACCTGTTAGATTTTTGGGCGTTACTCCTAATGAGAACAATGAAGAAAAACAATTAGTTAGAAACCGTGGCAGACCACAGAGGATTCAAGAGCCCGCTCCTGTTGAAGAAGAGATCGACGATGCACCGGCACCTGCCATTAAAAGACGTCCAAGCAGCACGGCAACACCTGAAGTATTAAACATAAATTAAAATAAATATTTTCATTTTCTCTTTTTAATTGATTTTTAATCAACTACTTTCTAAAAATTTAATAAAGCTTTTTTTACAACACAAATATTTTAATAAAAATAAAAAACTCAAGTTTATTTGAATAAAAATTTACTAGTTGATGACAAAAATGAAAATATTAACATTTAGGCGATCAAAATACAAAATGAATAAATTTTTAGGCTGAAGTTGAACTGAGCAGAGGTCAACCGCCACGTTCTAACGAGGAAGACGATACAGAGAATGCCGAACCAGAGAAACCTGACAATAAACATACATCTGCAGAAGACAAGCAAGAATCGAGCGAAACGGATTCTTCGGGCACTATCGTTGATACTACGGATAATCCAACTACGGAATATCCATCGACTATGGACAAAGTTGCTTTGGATCTCTACGCCTTTCTGCAACAAGGACAGAATAACTTGGTAGATGCGTTCAACAGCGAGGCTGGCGAAACGCAAGACAACACGACAATACCTGACGACGAGATTACGACCGATATAGTGACGACGACGGAACTTGCAGCTACTACGATCGTTGCCGAGTCTATTAATCCCACGACAACGACAACTACAACAACGACAACGGAACCGACAACCACGACGACGACCACGGAACCATCGACCACCACCACTCAAATTCCCATAGGAAGAGGAAAATTCCGACGACCTGGAATCGGTGGCCCAGTAGCCTCGAGAAATCGGTACGCACACGTTCACTCATAACTTGTATGAATATAAATTTACTTACAATAAGAGCTAAGTATCCGTCTATTCGTTCCTTCACGCGTCGTAGATGTTTTGATATAAAAATTTGTTCCCTGTGTGTGTAAGGTCCATTAAAAACAATAAGAATTACATTTATATTTCTATCAGCTTCAAGTCCAATGGCGGCAGTAGTACTAGTACCGAAGCGACCGTATCAGAACCGACCCAAAAAGTCAGAGGACGTTTCGGAGGTGGCAATTTAAATGGCAATGGATTCAAGCGACCTCGACCAGGAGGTAACTTCAAACCAATCGAGGAGGATACCATACAGAAAGAGACGTCTAGCTCGGTGAACGCGGAGAAACCAGTGTCCGGTCGCGGCAGATTCCGCGCGCCTTCTTCCAGCAGAACTGCTGTGTCGACGACGACGACGACGACAACGGCATCGACTCCGTCGAACGGTGGTGCCTCGACAAATGGTGCCACCGCGGCTCGACCTGCTTTCAGTAAATTGAACATCAATCGAAGACGCGGGCGACCGACCACGAACGCACCAGGAAGCGACGAGTCCCAGGAGGCGCCGCAATCCGAAACCAGCGCACAGACTGTCGGCCAAATCGCGTCGGAAGCTACGACGAGTGCCCCGAAGAACGCTGTGCGCGCGCGACTTCCCGGCGCACCTGTAATCAGACCTGCCGCCATCAGGCCACCAGGTGGCAGAGTCAATTTGAGACAGAAACCGGGACAAGTGACTACCTCAACGACGCTCGCGCCAGAAACCGCCGAAGGTGCTATTGATGAGCCGGCCGGAGAGGGAACCGAGGAGGAGACGCACGAGGTTGGTACCTAATTTAATTATTTATATTAGTACATATAAATACAAATTATTCTTTTCTATAGGATGCTATTTCTTTGTATAAATTTTGAAAAGAAATTACCTCATCTACAGATGTACGATGGTTTCAGATTAAGACACAATCTCTATATTTCTTTTTATAAACAATATATCTCAAAGTCACAGTATTTTTGCTTAAAAAAATCCAATAAATCATAAAACATATTTGGATCTACAAGAACAATTAAAAAATACATGTTGGCCTGTAATATAAATTTTTTACCATCATCATATTTCTTATCGTGATTAAAACTATTCCTAGCTATTAATAAATAAAAGAAAAACTAAAAGATTTTCTTCATTATCTTGAAAATAATACATTTCTTGCTCAGATTGAAACACGTATACTAATATTACTTAACAAATAGGCCTTTATAGAACAAACTGCATAATTATGCTAATATCGATCTATGAACGATTTCGTGCCGAAAATAAGGTCAAATTTAAGATTCTATCTCTATATATATGTATATGCTGTATATATGTATGAAGTCGTGTTAAGTCAGCTACACTGAAAAATTAGGTACGAGGACACCATGATGTCACTCTCGATAAAGTTCTGTCTTGGAATTTACTTTCACTGGATGGCCTTTCAAAATGTCATCAACCAACCGGCAGAAGACGGTACACACGATCACTTTTCACCTTTCGACTTTACGATCTCGCGAAACCATCGCGAATAATGAATGTCGAACACTAATAGTCGAACGAGAAAATAAGAAAAAGAGAAAAAAAGGAAAGAGATGAAAAGAGAATATATCTAAAGAGATTTTATGTAATACTTCTTTAAATAAACATTCCTGACATTTCTTTACGTTCGTAAAAATGCAAAATTCTGAACAGTGAAGTTATGTCAATCGCAAAGAATAAAACTAACTTTATTATAATAAATAAGAGAATGTAGTTATATACTATAAATAAAACACACTATAAATAAAACACATATTTTTATATTTTACTATTTATCTAGATCGAATATTACTAAACTTTAAAAATTTATTTCTTATTGGGCTCATTCTCTTATGGAAAATTTGCAAACATCTCTAGTATACGTGATAAAAATTTGAAGCTACTATTACTTATGTTTCAAGAATATTTTAATAATATGTCAAATTACCTCTTTTTGTAAAAGGTATTTAAACAATAATAATTTTGTTGTTCTTCAGGCACCAGCGGAAACCAGTCCGCCGGCGCGTTCGACTACATCGAATCCCTTGAATAAATTGAGAAATCGTAATCGGTTACAAGTGCATCCGAAAACGACGACAAAGTCGCCGTTGCCGCCATCGATCAGAAGATCGCCGTTGCTACCGCGACGCAAAGTGACCGAGACCTCGCCGGCAACTCAGACGAGTCAGGAGGATACATCCTCCGAAGAGGAGGTCACTTCCTTCAGTGAGACAGAGCCGACCTCCGAGGCGACTTCCGTCGAGACCAGCACGGCAGCTAAAACGAAGCATGATGAGACACGTGGTCTAGGCGGTCTTCTTGCACCTCGACGCAGGATACCGGCGCGACGTCCGGGTCAGATAGCTCAGATTCAGGCCTAGATCGCATATAAATAAAAAGCACTCGCGTCTTGGACTATGAGCTCAAGATTCACTCGCGAGGATTTGGACGATTCCCATGACCTATCAAAAGGAATATAAATTAGATAATCTGTAGAATTGAAGACACACGCATATCGAATGTCGCGCTTTCGGACAGATATCTAATTTTTTTTTAAATACTTTTTCTGATCAACAGCACAAATATTTTGTATGCCGAAACAAAAATGACAGTTTTGGCATCCTTTACAATCGCTTACAATAGTGTTTTTTAAAAGACTAAATTTATAACACCATTTTTGTATCAACATGATGTAACAAATGCATTAAGAATACGTGATGACATTATTATATGATAATGTAACATGATATATTGTGTGTTGATAGTGTGATCTGAAATATGAAAAAATCGTTATAAAATATCGTTAAAATATAATTGAAATATTTTTCAAATATTTCCAAATTTTTAAATATTTAATAATGATATGACCTAATTGTAAATTCAATTACAACAATTATATTATATTGTATGATTTTTAAACACAATATATCATCTTTGCATATGCGAATGACAATTATAACTTACACAATAACGAGAAATGAACGTTTCCAAGTTTCTTGGTATATGTTGCGATAATAATTGTAACTGTATTGTATATTTAATTTGGCGAGTTTTATTTAATGATTAGCGTGCATTTATAAAGTTATCGAAGTACTATTTTTAACGTTATATATGCATATGAATAATATCCTCTTCAGGATGTATTTTTAAGACTACTACTGTGTAATGTTCCAAGATACACTGTAAATATTGCAATTAAACATTTGTAAAGTTAATTGTGTTATATTTCTCTTTCATTTTACCTCGTCAAAAAACATAATATTTGCATGTAAAATTAATATGACTGTTGAGAGAATCAAGAATAAATAAATAAAGTAAAATAAATTATATAGTAAATAAAAATTTTAATTTTAATCCTAATCAATGTTATTATGTAGATCATGATTAATGTAATTTTAATTTTGCATAATTTTAATTAAAATAAATATTTCCCAAATTTCATCCTTTATATAATGATCTGATAATCAATATATATTTATTATTATTTATGATAAAATTATATTATTATATCTATTTTCTAACTAATATAAAGGATAAACATATATACAATTATAAGAAAAAACGAAAATAAAAATGAGATAAATTGTAGATTTGTAGATATCAATTTCAAAATTTTTATAATTACTAAATTTATTAAAAACTACAATATTATAATTGTATCCAGCGTAAAAGCATTCTCGATTACTTACATTTCAGGACTGTTGTAATACGTTAAATGCCGAATACGATGTTTTCAGAACCTAAAAAAAAATTATAATGTAGAAGTTAATAATAAAATTAACATCTTTTAGAATAGATATTTTTAACAAAATAAATTATTAAAATTTTGATGATTAAACTTTAATAAAAATGCAAGTTTAACCATAATTTTCTTACTCGAAATAAAAAATATTCCTATTCTAATGTCTAAAAAAAAAGTCTATTCTATTATAATTTTTCAACAATAATACTAACATTACTATAAGATTGGAGAGAAAAAGTTATCAAGAAGCTGCTTGTAAATTTTATAGGAATTGTACTACGTTTCATTATCATTAAGAGCTCTTTCCTTTCGTTAATCGATAATAAAAACCAATTCATATTGTATACTGCATTTCCTATGCTGTTACTCTATTAAAATTGTGAAAGTAATTATTTAATAATGACATTAATTTATGCATCAATTTATATGTACATTTTATGCATTGTTTTATAATATTTTATATATACACACATATATACACAAATGTTTTCGAAAAAGATTATATACGTCTCGGAAACATTTATAAATTAACAATTAAAAAATCATTGGTTCAAGAAACACAAATTAACATATGACTTGTACAAATGACTTATTACCTTAAGTATTACTTCGTTTCCGGACCAGCAGTAAACGAAGATTTGTGCAAACATACAAACAGTATACATTGACATAGTCGCAACTTCGGAGCCCGTAATATGTGTTGATATATAATACACGCTTGTGCATAATAACAATATACTTCCAAAAAATTGACAGAAAAGTACCTGATTAAATATACTGTTTAGCGTTTTGGCGTAACTGTAATTGTCCCATATTAGTTTTGTACAGTATGATGAAGTTATTATATTGATCATGAATTCTATCATCATCAATTCCATCGACATTCGAGATATTATTTTATATAAAAAGTTCTATACAAAAAAAAGTCTTGAATGTCGCGCTATAGTAAAAAAATAATTTTACTATATATTAAGTCGTAAAAGATTAGTTTGTTGCTTTTTATTCAATAAAATAAAATAATAAATAGATCACAAATCATTACAAATCACAAAATAATTAAACAAATTCTTAGTAATTTACGATTATGATTTTATGAAATCAAATATTTATGCAAAGTTACAAATAATTTTAAAGTATAAAAATATATTTGTCTTCTACATAAATTAATGTAGCTAGTAATTTTATGGAATTGACGAAAATAGAATCATTAAATTATATATCATAATATACATATGTCCAATTGAAAATGTCAGTAATTTTATTTTCCGTTACAAGAATATCATTCAATAAAAAACATCCTAATTATTAAATTAAAATAATGCTTATAATATAATATATATAATGTATATAATGTCTACTAACTTGTAAATACTGAGATGATGCTTTATGTATTTCGACATTGTTTTTCCTTTATCCGATGAAATTTGTGAAAAATACTCTGGACATTGAGCTTTTGTATTAATCGCTAATTGGAGACGACATTCGAAAATCTCAAATTGAACGCATGTTTGCAGAAAAAGTCCGCAAATTAGAGTATCTGTGCCGACACTAATGATAGTGGCAAAAATCGATGTTATAAACTGATGGACAAATGTAATCCAAAACATTAGAGGCTTATTACAATCATATGGCAACCAAACTCTGAATGGCAAACGACCCTGCGTAATATTTATTATTGATCTTATCGTGAAAAATGTCACAGAGCTTGTCGACAAATATGAATACTTAATCGAGCAAGATCTGCGAATAAAAAGAAATTATACAAATACATTTTATGAAAAAAAAATCTCTTCTTTCTCTCGTCAATTTTACATCATAATCATTTAAATGTCACGACAATTACGCGGTCTCACCTGATAAACTCCTCAAATTTCATTTGTATTGCCCCTTCGGCTTCGTTTTGAGGTTTACACGGATCCTTTAGCAACATATCAACTAAATCGATGATCGCATTTCGACGTATTACGGCGATAGTGGCTTTGCAACAAACACTGACAATGGTCATAAACATTAGAGAATTGGTAGCAAAGTCATCTATATTATCAACGATAAAAACGATATCCATGAATTGAGTTAACATCAAAAAGTACACAGCTACTATTATAAAAGTGGTAAACACATTATACAACAGCTTAGCACAGTTCGATGACCATTCGATAGGCCGCCATATACCACTAATCGTATACATTAAAAAATTTAGAGACAGCCTCTGCATATTCGCGTATTTTTAGAAATAACTTATTAAAACATTGCACAAAAGAATATAGTCAACGTAAGATGTTTAAATACGCACTATCCAGAATATTTTGAATACATACATTAATTAATTTGTGATTTATAAACCGAGAGATGTGAGGATTTTAAGCAAAATTTTAAGTTTAATATATACAATTCACTGCAGAATTAAAGCATTATTTACTACGAAACGAAACACGCGAATATTTTTTACAGACGAATTTCGTATTTCCTTTTAATTTAATTTAATTACTTGATAAATTTAATACATCTAAGGCATAAAGATAAAATATATAATTCCATCATGATTTAAGAATTTTAATCTATGGTAATTTAACTTTACTGTAAAATATGTTACTGACTAAATAAAGAAAGTGTTAAAATATTTTTTGCGTATTTAATCGGATATGACACTTTATATTATTATAGTAATAATAAAGTAATAGAATAAATGTACTATATATTAATACAACTCGTTTCAATATCGTGAAGATTGCAAATGCTGAATAAGTCGAGTACGACCTGCTGTAAACTAAGCAAAGGTTCGATCGTACTTCAACTTTGTGTAATTCCTCTACCATTAATTACGGTTATTAATAATTCGATAGAGAGAGATATTATTCGTTTCTTCCGATACGCAATATTTTCCGCACACGTAAATATTGTATAATTGTGAGAAAGTCGCCGTATATTTTAATGATTCGAGGGATACCTTGCTCTCTTACATTCAAACACATTGTCACATTCTCATCGAATAAAATATTTACACGTACTTATGTCATCGACAATTGAATGCAACATTGTATTTCCCATAAAGCCTTGGATAATTTCTCGCATAAAAGCACAAAAGTAATGAAGCCAAAGGGATGTAATAACAAAAAGTCCGTGGTTGTCTCTTTACAAGATTAATGATAGAAGAATTTATGTCTGCTTATCACATGTCTTGCGAGAGATATCGTGTAGAATAAACAATATAAGATAAAATATCATTTCCTAGCATTTTACCTGTTTAATTTTTGCTGATGTAAGAGATAAAATGACTCCGCTTCCTTCAATTTTTGCTGATGTAAGAGATAAAATGACTCCCCTTCTTCACGAGTGACCGCCAAATGGAAGAAATTCAAATCGCCCGATCAAACCACAGACAAAGTAATAATATAGACATATTAGTCTATGTATCAAACATCTCTTCACTCTGATTGACCAATCAAACGTTTCGAAATTTTCGTAGTGTCAAACGGAACGCATCGCTGAATGGAACGATTCGAAGCATTTGTAGTGTCAATGAATATCCAATCTAGAGCGATCTGTCATTTACGCAATCAGCGCCGCTCGCGGATCGATGATGAACTACGGTGAAGCGATGATAAATCGAATACGAAAAGTGTATAGCACAATTTTTTGCACACAAAATTATTTTTATCTCGACTATGCAACACGCGTACGGAAAGATAAAGCACGCGTCTTCGATTATCTCTTTCAATCGCAAAAAAAACGAGAAATTACAAAAAATAAACTAACATAAGATAAATAAAGATAAGCCAAGTAGTACGCTACCTTTCCGCGGCGCTGATCGCGTAGAGCGAGCATCGAGTTGACGTGCATACGTAGAGGAAGCACTCATTGTTAGCCAGCAAAGATGGTGAACCGCGGAGAGACACATGTACGATTTTAACGGTCCGTTGTCTAAATTATCAGTGAATAAGAAATGGAGGTCAATATGTAAGCGGGCGTGAACGGGGCTTGGCCAGCAACTGCGAGTAAACGCGCGTTGTAAGATTCGTCGTGGCATTCGTCGGCTGTGGGATCGCGACTCGAAGGTACGCAAAGGCAGGATGCGCTTTGTTTATGGAGATCAGCTGTGTTTCCAAACATCACATCACTCTTCCTGCTTCGCGCGCTCCGCTAGCGAGCGACGTTGCTATTTTCATCGGATAAAGGTCAACCGAATGCTTGGAACAAAGCGAGGAGCGTCGCACGGCGTCGTATGACGTGTTGCACTCTCGCATCATTGTCCGTCTAGAGAATCCCAAGAAATCTCTGAAATCAAAAAGAAAAAGACAGAACGGGAGATAAAGTGTACCTACTTTAACCAACAACTTATGACTCGAGCCATTATTTCTCTAATTTCTTAGGAGTCGACGTGCTTTCTTTTATGTCCTATTCTATTACGTCGCGTTTCAAGATCAGTTTTATCGTTCAAAAATTGAGAAACTTTTAATAAATGTGCAAATGTTCCAATTTTGATATTGTACAAGCGTCTTTTACGATTTAAGCCAATTGTATTGTTATTTGTATTATTATCGAATACTATATTCAGGTGAGAAAAGAAAGCACAAAAGACAAGTGTATCATATATATATATATAATGTTAAGAAAATGTTCAAGGTGAAATGTGCAGTGAATAATTAATTGAGCAATCAACAAAGTTAATCCTATGATAAAAGATGTATAATAAAAAAATTTCTACACGAGAATGATTTATTCAAATGATATGCATTTGGGACATAGTAAATACGCAACACTGTGTTGTATCTTTAGTTTTGATAACAGAATTGAGAAAACAATTTGTCATTCGAAAAGATATATATTTCATTTTCCATGGAAAAAATCACAGTTGACTATTGTCTGCAAACTTTGCTTTTAAAAATTAATATATAATTTCTTTAAAAAATATTTTTAAATTTTCTAAGGATTTTTTTGTGTGAAAAATATACATTTTTTTTAATGTCAAGAAAATATGCAATTATATGCATATATATAATTAAGAATCTTTAATATTTATTAAAATATTAAAAATATTTTATTACAATATTATTTTATAAAGATTCAAGTATTATTATCATGATTGTTATTCTATTTTTCTATTCTTATTATGACAAATATAATTGTTTATAATATTGTTAATTTTTCTCACTATTAAGTTTAATAATTTATTAACACTGTTATGTTAAAACTGTTGTTTATTATCAATATTCAATTCACAAATGGAAATAATTTATACATTCTTATAGTTAATAAATGACATATATATTGATGCATGATATATATATATATATATATATATATATATATGTAATATGCATAAATAATATTTTTGTTTAAATTTGTTAATATGTTTTTGAATTTTTTTCTATATCTTTGATATTGTGAAAATGTATCGCAACTAAAAATTGTTATGTTTAATAACTGATTCCAGATGCTTGCGGAGCAATCATCAACTGGTAGTTAAATAAACTTAATGACATGAAAGAATGAAACGAGAAACTGTCATTACCTGTATAGAGCCAAATCGAGCGCAAACGGTGAGATTTCATTAACTATTAAATTTATTCCAATCTATTCCAATGCATTATTTGTGTCTACAACAATTCTATTAATATCTTATTTTAATTAAGATGTAAAAATTTGAGGTTTCAATGCAAATTGCATTTGTAGATGACGACGGTATTGGACGGTAGTTATCAACGTATACACCCTTATGAGGGTCAAGAAGAGGATGCGGATGATGACGATGATCGCGAGGAGACTCCTCAAGAATCGGGCGTTATAATCCATGTAGTACCAGAGGGTAACAAAGCACGATGGAATCATATTGAAGATTTGGATTCGTTCTTCGCGCGAATGTATCATTATCATCAGCAGCATGGTTTCCTTTGTATGATGCTCCAAGAAGTTTTGGAATTATTGCAATTCTTTTTCGTAGTCGTCTTTGTTACCTATCTTTTTCACTGCGTCGATTACAGCAAAATATATAAGTACGTTGTATAAATTATAAATATATAACAATTTTTTAAATTCTTGCAAATTATTTTTTGTGATATAACAAGTATTTAATTGTTATGTGTTGTATTTTCAGTGGTGGAGATGTAAATAATAATACCAGCCACAAAAATGACACCGTAGTAAGCTTAGGAGTTTGTATAAAATCAATCTCTTTATTTTATTGGAGTCTTCTTGTTATCGCAGCCATTTTCTTTATCCTTCAATTTGTCAAAGTTCTCTATCACCTGATGCAGTTTTGGGAGATCAAAATGTTTTTCAATACAGCCCTTAAAATTGCTGATAGCGAGTTGGACAATTTCACTTGGCATGAAGTTCAAAAGCGAATTATAGAAGTACAGAAGGAGCAAGAAATGTGTATTCATAAACGGGAACTCACAGAATTGGATATATACCATAGAATATTAAGACACAAAAATTATATGGTAGCTATGATCAACAAATCTCTTTTACCAGTGCGACTAAAATTCCCCATTATAGGAGAAGTTATCTTCTTGACACGAGGATTAAAATATAACATAGAATTATTGTTATTTTGTAAGTATATCCCATAATGTGTGCGATGAATAGATATGTAACATTGCCAAAAATAAAGAATTCATCTTGATTTTTTTCTCTAGGGGGACCATGGTCACCATTTGAAAATAATTGGCATCTAAAGGAAGATTATAAAAAGCTGAATAAAAGGCAAGAACTCGCACGACAATTATCCAAGCACATCTTATGGATTGGTATCGCAAATTTCGTCTTATGTTTTCCTATTCTTCTGTGGCAGATTCTCTACACATTTTTCAATTATGCCGAGGTAAATAATTACTTTTCTAGTTATGAATATACTCAATGTATGTACATTTAATGAAAATTTTAACATAATAATTATACTAATTCTCTAGTGTATAATATATTATAAAAATGTTATTATTATTAACAGACTATTAAGCGAGAACCAAGCGTTTTGGCGATGCGCACGTGGTCTCTATATGGTCGACTATATCTGCGTCACTTCAACGAACTCGATCATGAATTAAACGCCCGTCTTAGTCGCGCGTATCGCCCTGCTTCCAAATACATGAGCAGCTTCACGTCCCCGATAATGACAATACTCGCCAAGCATATCGCATTCATCACTGGTGCTGTATTAGCGGTGCTGTTGCTGATAGCGTTGTTTCAAGAAGGGACATTCTCGATGGAGCGCGTAGTCGCTTATATGACTATGTTAGGTGTTGTAGCGGCAGGTGCAAAGGCAGCAATACCTGATGAAAATTTAGTTTGGTGTCCCGAGACTCTTCTAACCGCTGTGCTAGCTCATACGCATTATAGACCGGACAGTTGGCGGGGTAACGCTCATACGTTGACCACTAGAGCTCAAGTAGCGCAGCTATTCCAGTATCGCGCAGTACATCTCCTGGAAGAATTGATTTCTCCATTCGTGACGACATACATCTTGTGCTTCCGTATGCGACATCGAGCGTTAGAGATTGTAGACTTTTTTCGTAACTTTACTATCGAAGTTGCTGGAGTCGGGGACGTGTGTAGTTTCGCCCAAATGGACGTGCGCAAACATGGTAACCCTATGTGGCAGACTGTAACTCATAGTCCCACAGTTTCTCCGTTGCAGCAAGAGGATCGTACTACTGGATACGATAATCAGTATGGTGTCGATCCCGATAAATATTATATATCGATGTCGAATCATTATACTCAAGCGGAAGATGGCAAGACCGAACTGTCCCTTATACATTTCACTCTAACAAATCCTGAATGGAAACCGCCGTCCCATGCGGAGAATTTTGTGACCGCTTTGAAAGAAAGGGCTAAAAAGGAAGTGACTACGAATTCTGATCCTTATAACAATCCGCTCATAGCCAGTTTAAATAGCTTGTCCGGTCTTGGTGTAAGTATTTTTTTTTCTTTCACTTACTGGATAATTCTATTGGAATTGTTTTTATGCTTTATGTATATTATGCTTTCATGTATTGTTACAGTATAAAGAACATGTATCGAATATTATTCGAAGTACGATAAATCAAATGAGTGTACCCAGTATGAGCAATATTTTTACAAATCAACCAAGTACGTCAGCCACGTCAGTCGGCGTCGATCAATCATTCAATCATTCAAAGTCAACCTTGCATCGAGGTGTAACCAAGAAGGAGGGTCCATTGCATAATGAAAGAGGATTCCTGTACGATCTGCAACAGGGAATATCAAATCAGTCATTAGGTGCTTCTGTATTTGGATCAGGCCACAGTTACATCGAAACACATACAGATCCGTCTGTACCTATAGAATTAACTGCTGCCGACATGTCTTTATCTACATTGTACCTACATGAGCTTCATCATAGACAAGTAAGTATCTCATACAATCTATATATTCATGATACTTCGAGCTACTCGAATGCATGACAAAAAATTATAAGTAAAAATGTTTAGATATATCAAATATATCTGAAAAAAAAAATAACTGAATTCCAGGTAAACAGAAGAGGCTATCAGGAAACGGCAACGAGAAGTATATGGCAGCGAAGCCCGACTCAAGAACTAGCATCGCTTCCCGAAGTTAGACAAGAAAAAGTACCGCTCCTGTTGCATCAAGATTCCTCTTTACGAAAAAACAGAGAATCTTAACACTACGCTTGAAAATTTATTTAAGTAGGAAAGCGTTCGATTCTCTCGCGCAATAATCATTATTTTAGCGGAATAAAATAATTTTCACTTGTTTTATTACGATGGAAAAAATTTACAATTTATTTTATAATAAATAAGTAGTCACAACATATTCGAGAGTGATATAGTCTCTCGAGATGTTACATAGAAAATTATGTCTTCTAAATATTCTTAATATTGTATAGTGCAGAGAAGAGGATATAGGTTTCTTTCTCTTTCTTCTCTGCATATGGCCAACGATTTAATAATGCCTACTCTTAATATCAAGGACCTATTTGAAAACTTATACTTTAACGTTTATACGTAAAACATGTACATTCATCTTATGTTTTATGTAATTGCAGACTCTGTGTAAAAAACATTGATTTAAGAGATTTGACTAGTACAGTAAAGTCTAGATAAACGATAGAGATCTTTGAGAATTATTTTAAAAGAAATGGTATTCTTTCATATTAAAAAAAAAATTTATATAATTTTATACTTCTGACATTATCACGTAAATAATGAGGAAATAGGAGAAAGAGAAAAGAAAAACAAGCCTTTAACTTAAATTATTTTTTTTTTAAATTTCAATTATACTGGCTTCTATGATAGTCTAACTCTTTTATTCAATGAGATTTGTTATGCTACTATTAAAAGTTGGTGTATATCAAAATTCTGTCAAATAGAATACTTCTGACAGATAGAATATTTCGAATTTAAATTAGTTAAACGTAAAGATTAGTATAATTCTTCGATTGAAAACTAAAAGAGATAATGCAACATTTTTATATGCAAATACGAGATAAACGCGTAATTAGTAATGTACGCGTATTTGTCTGATAATTTTAATGACCTCTCAATGCCACGATTCTCTAGTCATACGAAATTAATATCGCGCCGTAGCGTCTTTTTTTTTAGACGAAATGGTCCTATTTATTTTTAACATTTTACTTTTATTACTAGCTATTTTATATGTATGTATTTATATGTATAATATATATATATATATATGTATATAAATATATATATTTAAATATATATATATGTATACATATGTTATACATACATACACACGTATATACATACATACATACATGTATATATATATATATATATATATATATATATATATATATATGTATGTATATGTATATATATATGTAACGGCGGCTGAATATTGATGGCTAGGGTAACTCGTAGAATTACTTGTATATAAAATCGCGATATTTTCAAATGCCGCGATAGTTGAATGACAAGTTGCGCCTTGTTCTTTGACACAATGGAGGTTGTTACAAAGTATATTAAGACAAATCTACTCTACTCTTTACTTATCCTTTGTTTATATACAACATTTAGTAACTTAATAAGACATCGATGATTTGTAAAGTGAATTAACAGGTAATAAGTAATATTAAATAAGAAAATACCTTTTTTGCTAAATCTTATATCGATGTGATTCTCATAAGATGAGAAATTAGTATTGTAAGACAAATCTGTAATTATAGCACTTTAACAAAAATAAATAAATTTCATAATAAACTAATCTCTAATTATATATTTATACTATGTCCATCGCTCAAAATCAACTATTACAAACCATACAGCACAGGACAATGTCATTACAATGTTATAACAATATTAATAATATTGCTGCAATATTCTGTGTTGAATAAGAAGTTTGTCGAATGTATATAAATATAATTACTGTAAAAAATGCTGCTTTTAAATGTATCATTGATTTTCAATAACTTTTGATATGAAAAGCTCTTGTTTTGCTTCGTTTTTGTTTTTTTTTTTTATGAGAATTATATCGCATAGATATATGAAAAATGACTAGCGGTAAAATGCAAAATATGAGCGCCTGCCAAGAAATTATATCGTCAACTGCAAAGTTGGTGGATGTTTCCAAATACAATTTGCGATGTAATCGTAATGTCAGTGAAAAAATGACAAAAAAGGACTTTATTTACGATATCCGTACCCCTACACAAACCATGAAAAAGGTATTTATGCTAATTGACGCGAGAGCCTTACTTTAGCGATTTATTTTTTGGGATGTGAAAATTATTCTTAAAAAATTCAAATATACTGAGAAATTTAAAAAAAATTTGCACATTAATTGATTCTTAAAACACACATCTCGTCAAAATAAAAATTTGTAATCTGCACAGTTCGAGATACAGAAACAACCTATCATACTACCGATTCAACTACGACGGAAACAGACCACTAATTCAAAAATGCCACAATACACAGTAATTTCCGAAAAATTGGACCGTGGTGATAGTGGCGATGCGACCGTTGTAAGTAAACATTATTTATAAAAAAGTTTGAAACTTTTATTCTTCTACTACATATATTATCTAAATGAATAAAAAATAGTAAAAAATAATAGAATTATTATAAAATTATTCAAACATTTTTCCTTTAATGCATCAAAAAAACTATCATTTAAATATTGTGTACTTTTTTAATATATAGTACATTTTATTTTAATGTATTTGTTTTACCCTGCATTTTTAATTATTCTAAATTATTGTAACTGTTGCAATTTTTAAATTAAAGTGAAAAATGAAAGATTATTTCACTATTTTTAATATGGAAGAAAAACCTATTACTTTTTTTATAAGTATCAGAAACAATATTTCATCACCATTAAACTTTTTTCAGGTTACTGATCGACGCACTTTAGAATATAAATGTAATTTTTGTCACGAGCCAATCGCTACTTTACTTTCTCTATCAACTCATGTAAAATTTCATTGTCAAAGATATTGCAAAATGTGTTATTGGATTCTGCGCGAAAACGAGACGATGGAACAACACATCGATAATTATCATCGAGTTGAGGAAATTATATATATATAATAAACTTATAAAGATTCCATTAAAAAAAAACATTACATTCATATTCCAAATACATATTTATATATTAAATTATGTTATAATCTAAGCAAAGAATATAAATTATAAAATAAATAATTTTGAAAAAAATTAGAATTCTTTTTGCTATATCTAGGACACTCGGCATACATGTCGCTCAAGATATCATGTTTTTACTTTTTTTTTAAACATATGTGTAACATGCGTTTCTTGATTTTATTTTACTCGTACGGTCGAGATTTACTTATATGGTAATGGTCGCGCGAGAGAATATTATCACGCAGGTGTAATCTTTTGTCGAAGCGGAAACAATAAAAGAAATGAGCTGAGGTGCGTTTTTGGTCCGCGTTACTTTCCCATGAGACTGACATGATATATCACTCGGGCCTTCAGCGACTATAAACGTTCTGAAATCGTATAAAAGGGTCGCGATTGTCAGAGTCCCGGATGAATAAACATAAGGGAAATTTTCAAGAGAGAGAAAAAACTTTTGGAGGAAATAATTTATATTCGCAGATAATTTATCTAGGAAATAAATCAGGTTGAGATAAAATTATACTTCCTCTGATATATTATTATATATAGAAGGCGTCTCACATGGATTTTTTAAAAATTGAATTTATAATGTACAAAAGAAATTATGTTTATAAATAATATTAATATAATATAGATATAATAACGATAATTTTATTATAAATAAATATAAAATATTTATATATAACAAAAGACTTGAAAAAATCGAATAAAAGCTATTGAAAGATTAAATTGTCGAAATGTAATATATGAAAAATGAAAATAAAGTCTCTACTAAACATACATTTTTATATTTTCTACACTTTTTGGAGCTCAAGGTGCGCATTGCATCTATTTCTTTATAATATATTTTTAATATATAAATAATATGTAAATATTAAGACAAATCAAATTATTCTAAGAAGCTCTAAGAAACATCCTATGAAGTTTAATGACTGATGCACTTACATTATTTATTAGCCTCACATCATAGACATCTAAATGCAGTCATATCCATATTTGTAAAAATCGTGTAATGCCTACAGATAGGTGATTTTTTCTCAGATAGTCCTTTTTCCCTCGAAGTTTAATAGTTCCGGCGTTACGATCTTCAAAGTGGCATTCACACTTTCGCAGCAATTACTGCAAACAATGCTTTGTCCACGTACCGAAAGGTCCTTTGCTAGAAGCTTGATAATCTGTAAAGTAAATGACTTCATATTAATTATGACTATGACTATTGATATTAATTATGACTATATATTAATATGACAGGAAGAGAAATGCGTACATATCTAAATATATTCTGCGTATAAATGAAATATTATCTGTAACGCACGTTTCTTTTATTATGCATTTTATATTGTCTTTTTATTTTGTAATATTATTTGTTTTCTTTAAAATAATAAATCTTCAATTTTTTGTTATAATTAATTACCTTATTATTAATTATTAATTATTGATTAATAAATTAATAAATTAATAGATTGTTAAATTAATTATATATTTAAAAAAATAATTAATTATTAAAGTATTGATTATGATAAATATCGAGCACATTAATTTCTACCTGTATTATAACTTAAATATTTTTATACCAAACATTAATATCATTATGTTTATATCATTACGTTAATTAAACGCGTTTAGCAATTTCAGAAAAGTTTATTTAACATTTTAATTAAAATGCTTTCAATGCGTAACCATACATCCATATTAAAAATTAATTAAATTAACAAAATTACTTTATACATTCTTATTAATGCATTAACAGACATATTGCGATATATATCTGTCATTATTAATTTATAATAGTCTAAAAATAAATTTAATTGGTTATTTAATGCTTTAAAACTATGCTGAGAGAAGAGAAGATTTAATTTTAAATCGTCTTTTTTTCAATCGATCGCAAAATAGAGGAACGCATACATCGATCATCAATACTACTCAGTTATTATCATCTTCTTCTCATGTCTGTTTGTCTGCGACATTTCCCTGACCCTACCTCAAAACATCTTATGTCAAAGTTTAGATCTTTTACGTCGACTACGAGTAAGACCTTATTATATACCTTAGCAACCGTAACATCGATCCTCTTCAGATTCTTACAATCAAGTATCACATTGCATTCACTCTCTCCAGAAAGCCTCATTATGTTAGCACGCAGTCGTTCTGCCGCTGGAAAAGCTACCGCCTCTTCGGGTATTACAACTATTACGGTTTCCCCATCAATCTGCATTAGACACAAAGAAAACAAAATGTAACTCGTTTATATAGATGGTTCTGCAACCATCTTATAGTAAGAAATTATTAATATATAATTATATATAATTATAGACAATCTCGGAAATTTATTTTCAAATATAATATAATTGAATTATTAATATTGAGAACTGGATAAATAAAAAAAGATATATTAACAATAATATATATATTAAAATATATATAATAAAATATGATTTCAAAATATAAAATATTTTTGATAAGTTTTAAATTTATTGATATCCGAATAAGACCGAAGAAAAAAAGTATGGAACAATGTATCAGTTTTATTTGTATATTGATTCCCGAACCAACATAGAAAATCAATTTAAATCAACGAAATAATAGATCGCACTGTTCAAATATAATAAGGGCATAATCAAATTGAATTAAGCTAAAAATATGGCATCAGTGACATAAGATGACAACGCTACAATATATCTATTATATATGTATGCATATTTTCTCTCTTTCGTATTAATCAATTGAAAGAAGGCTTTTACTTCATTATAAGCATTGATAAAGTATTTACAATATATTAACTTTCAAAGGAACACATACGTATTAATTAATTGAAAGAAGGCTTTTACTTCATTATAAGCATTGGTAAAGTATTTACAATACATTAACTTTCAAAGGAACACATACATATTTTTGATATCAAATTCAATATTATTCATTATTCAATATTAAAAGATGGACCATTATCAACTCATTATTACTATACCTGTTCAATTTTCATCTCAATGATAGGTCGCGCTGAGTAATATAATAAAGCTATAAGATTGACAACGATGCCAATTAAGATACCATACTCCAAACCAAGAAAAACACATGGAATTAATGTCAGCATCATCACAAAGAAATCGATCTCTAAAAATATATGCTTGGTTATACATAGTTAATTTTTTCTAAATTTTTTCTAAATAGCAATGTCTAAAGAAAGCAAATAAATACAATTTTTGTAAATCGCAATTCTCGTAAACACAAAAATATTACATAAATTATATATACATACATATATATATATATATATAAATTAATAGACAAATAATAATTTTAGTATCACATTGATGAAAAAAAGTTTTCATTTAAAATGTTATCAAAATATAAAGCATCAAGCGATATTGATCAAACGATCTCAAAAGGGGAACAGACGACACTGCTCCCTCTTAACAATAAATGTCACAAGGACGCGTTCGAGTATTATTGTTTCACGCTAGCTTCCCGAGAACGAATAGACTACGAATGGAATCTGGGTGTAAGTGGTGCTCTCGTGCATTGACGTCGGCTCCTTTGTGCTATCGTTGATACCACGTTGGTTAAGTTGCGTATAGATCAATTGAACCAAGAGTAAGAGAGAAAGAGAGAGAAAAACAGAGAGAGAGAGAGAGAGAAGGAAGAGGTAGTTCATTTTGAAACTTACTTTTGGCACGCCATAGTAAAACGTATGTCGGAAAATCAAGCATGTAGTACATGGCACATATGATGAGGCCGGCGAGCGTCGCCTTTGGTATAAAGTAGAAAGTAGAAGTCAATAAACTAACCGCGAGCAATACCAGACCGCCTGTAAAAAGATTCTACAATTATAATTAAGAAAAATACATCGAGGAAATACAGTCATTCTTCGTTAAAAAATTCACTAAAAATTTGCTGGATAATTCTTATCTATTCCAAAATGGAATCAGTTCCATTCTTCTTAAAATAAATTTGTATAAAATAAAACTGCTATCGTTGCACTGAGAACAATTCAGATAAATTCTAGGATACTACAGGGAGATATTTTTCACATGCCAAATTGATCTGTATTTAAATCACGTTGGATTCAAAGATGAAACAATTTTTGTTCACCACTCACGTACCTGTAAATATTCCTCCCAATGGAGTTTTGACACCCGATGCATCATTGACGGCCGTTCGTGTGAAAGATCCTGTAACTGGCATCGAACGGACAAACGATCCGAAAATATTGCAAATTCCTAGGGCGATCATCTCCTGCGTAGCATCTAAAGGTTTGCCCTTTCCTAAAATATAACTCGTATTCTATTACTTGCATTAAGAATAAATAGACTCAACTTTTGTAATTTTTTAAAAAACGATGTCACGTAAAACAAGATAATAAATGCTTTTACATTAATAAAAAGTAGCGACAAAAGTATTTTTTTTAGAAAAATGCGACATGCAAAAGCGCATCATGCGCTTTTAAGAAATTTACTTTTATTATAAGATCTTTATTGCCTACAATTTTGTAAAGGTGACAATAACAATCATGTAACAAAAATCTAGTTACTAAAAGCTTTTGCAATGGCCATATGCTCAATGGTCGATATGATTGGTATCGTAAACAATGTTGTTCCCATTGCGGTGGACATTTCCAAAAAATTATATGTACTATTTTGAAATGTGGTAGAAAATGGTGGAGGAGCGAACGGTGGTAAACCCTGACCCATCGAACCTGCAATATTTTGTTTATTGTTACATAACAAAAAGTGAAAAAAAATACATTTTAATCATAATATCAGGAACATTATATGTTGTCAATATATTAATATCTTAAAACAAGTCTCTGCTATTCTGCAATATTTTTTTGGATATCAAAAGGAAATTACTCTTTTTCATAATCATTAATATTTAATAACCTTAAGATTCTTGTTTCAAGAAAAGAGATAAATATAATAATTAATATTAATAATAATTTAAAGCTAGTAAAATAGTCAAGTAATTTTAACAACAAAACATTTCTAAAAAGTCAATCTAATCCTCGGCGCAAAACAGATATTGAATGTGCGAAATTGAATGATTAATCGGCCAAAACAAGATTTATTATCACAAATGTATTCCCCGTTATCCTGTCATTTCGCGTTCGATAATATGATAAATGTTCTATACTCAACTCTGTAATTTCGAAAAATATCGACAGAAGAAAATTAAATAAAAGATAATCAATTTTTAATCTGGTGACCAATTACTATATTTAATTTGTAAAGTTTGCTTTATTTGTAATTCATACACAATATTAATCAAGTAATTTTAATATTAAGTAAAAATGATTTAGCCTTACTTACCCGTTAATTTGAAAGGATTTTGATTGTTAATATAAAAAATATACGCCATAACAGTGCCTATAATTACGACTAATGCATTGCGAGACAAAGCAAGGAGCCATCCTATTTTTTGAAAAGTTGTTCCTATACGCCGTCCTGGTATATTCTGTGTGTTGAAAAAAGAAAAACGTTAAAAAAATAACATTTTATCATAAAATATTTTTAATTTCCTGCCATATGTTTTACATTTTCTGCTATTTCCTGCTAATATATATACTGCTCATAATTATATTCAATTATTAAAATATTTAACCCCAAAAATTAAAAAGAAAAAATTATAGTGACATTTAATTGAATTTTTACTAAAGAAAATATATCGACTTTATCAGCCAAAACAAATTGATAAAGTTTTTATATTGCAACATTTCTTGTAGTGTATATATATATATATATATATATATATATATATATATATATACATTTATACATGAAGTATAAGTTTATTTATATAAAGTAAATAATTTTATTTGACTTTAATAAAATTAAACGTTCCAAAAACTTGATTGAAATTTGAAGAAAATTGGTGAAATTTTAATTTTACCTTGAGCAACACTAGCACAATGATTGTTGCAATGCCTAACAAAGTATCTTGATATCGAATCTGATAGAGGTTTTTAAATATCACTATCAGAGAATCCAAAAAACTTTCACTTTTACCAGGAATGCCCAAAAGGGATTTAAATTGCGAGGATGCGATGTTGATCGCTGCGGCTGAAGTAAAGCCAGTGATCACCGGAAGTGATACGAAATCCAATAGAAATCCTTCATAATAAATACGTTATATATTATTAGGAAAGAAATACATAGCATAGCAGCAACATTTTTTATTGGTATTATATTTTCTATTATAAAATATGTTTTTTAAATTTATTTTTCTTATTTTTTTTAATTAACATGCACAATATCATAAATAAACGTACCTAAATGAAAAATTCCTAGAAGCGCAATAATACATCCTTTTAGAAAGGTGATTAGTATAGCTATATCAGCACCGTATTTTTTAACTAACGGTTGAATCATGGTAGCCATTATGGCTGTCGGACCAATAGTAATATTTTCGCAAGAACCAAAAATGATATATATAAATGATGCCATAAATGCTGCGTACAGTCCATACTATAAAATTGTAACACACATTATAGAGAAATTAAAAATACAATTATTCAGAGACATCGTTTAAATTAATTAAAAATCTCATACATCAGTATCAATAAAAATATTATATATACTCTAGTAGTCAGTCTTATTCAGAAAAGTTCGGTTTCATCTTTTCGATGATGAAAACATTTTACGATTTATGCGGCTATCATTCTCTTTTTCTCCTTGACCTTTACCTCAGCACCTAAACCGGCGACGATACCGTAAGCGATGCCCTGAGGTACAGCAGTGAGACCAACCGTGATGCCGGCCAATGCATCTTGCAAGATCCACGTGGATTGATACCGTGGCAACCAAGTAAGAACCGGCAATCTTCGCTTAACATAATCGTTGCACTTATCTCTCCCATACCATTGGGCCACTAAAAACAAACTTGGCCTTGGTTTCTTCTCCTTTCACGATATCGCGAAACAATATAGTCGGGACAGTTCGTAACATTGAATAAAACTGACTGTGAGTGATTTTCACGTTCTTTTTATTTTCAAAGTGTTTTCTTTATGAGATTTAAAAAAAATAATTTGTCAATAAAAATATTAATCGCGTTGAATATATTAAATAAATTTTGTTTAAAAAATATATTTGTCTTTATATTCTATTGAGATTTCTTTTTTAAAAAGAATGAAAAAGAATTATTTCTTTTACAATTTCATCTTCTTTAAAATAAAAATAGAAATTTAATTAATTGTAAGTGTTGGTCTAATTTTAAATAATTGCAACAATCTATTGTTAATTTATCTATTATTATATTTTTAGAGTATATGCAGAAAGATACAATCACTTATAAAAGGCACAAATTCGCGATTCGTAAAACGCGCACGTATTAATTATTTATGTAATTATTAATATCATAACTTACTTATTTTCAGTTTGTTTTTTTAACAGTAATTAGTTCTTCCAAGAACAACAGATTCTACACAGGAAAATCAACAAACATATTTTATTTGAGTTTACTGCACGAAGAAATAATTTCTGAAAGAGAGATAATGAACATACTAAGTATTCATGATTCCATTGACTGACGTTTCGGAGCGTACCTTACTCACTGCTGCTTACTTGGCTACTGAAAGCCGAGGTAACGGTTTATCGCTAGATCATCAAATTGACATTATGTAAACAGCTCGAATCACTATCACTGAATAACATCTCTCATTATGAAAATAGCATATCATTGGAATTAATCATTCAGCATTCGACGATATGGCTACACTGAAAGAAGTTTTTGCAATTTTTAAAATTTCTTTCAAAGTATTACATAAAAACAAATTCTAATTATAGCCTAGCCAGTTCCTCATTATCATGTAGATTAAGCTATCGCTCTAATTGGGACATGTTAGCATTGTAGAAGTAGTTGTATCGGGAAATAAATTTAATGTTAAAATTAGTAAATAAATACTTAATAATTGACTAATTTCTCTCCAACAAATTTGAAGCGGTAAAACTGTAATTTCTTATTGTTCATATATTAAATGAAAAATATATCCAAAGTATACAAAATGTTTAAAAAATAAGCGGTTAAACTTTAATGGCATATTCTATTCATCATTCTAAAATGAAAAAAACACACATGGATTTAAAAATTTGCTTTTTAAGTTATAAATATTTTTTATTTACAACGGACTTTAGTAAGAACATTCCATTAAAGAAATTGATTTCAAAAAATTGATTTCCATTGAATGCATGTCTCGCATTGATGTTTCATGGATTGTCAAAAATGTTATGTAACTTTTTTTATTTTTGCGGTGAGTAGAATATGCTGTTAAAATTTAGTCACCTATTTCTAAAACACCTTGTACATATGTTATATGTGTATGTAATAAAAATTGAAAAATCTCGGATCAAATAGCATCTCCGATATTTATAATAAACTATGGCATCCAAAAAATAACAAAATTTATAATTCACATCGCGCACAAACACGTTTTCTTTTAATACACTTTTTTAAATAGAATTTTTCGCTCGCGAATCACCATATTAATCCAATTAAATTATATAATTCTTGCGATAAAAAAAAATCCGATTATATTAACGATGTGAAATCGGTTTAAGCGTCTACTATGGAGTATTCGCTGAGAAGTATGTTACGTTGGACAAATATAACAGCCGATTACGGTAACTCTTGTGAGACTGCGGGTTTCACAAAAGCGACCATTTCATTTCTCCTTCCACTTGCTACTGTGAAAGAGAACGCGTGAAAGGGGATATTTATTAAGCGCAGCTCACGCTTGACTTTATTATACTTTATTAATGAGACATTATGGTATTCTAATTATTCATTATGTAACATTGCGCTGACAAATTAAAAATAAATGTTTTAAATGTATGTATCCTTTAATATAAAATATGGAGAAAGAGAGAGAGAGAGAGAAAAAAAGAGAGAGAATTTAAGTAATTCATTGAAATAAATTTTTTCCTTTTTATAAGACAACGAATATCAAACTTTGGGAAACTGAAAATCAAATATATTTACACGATACCGATGTCTATCTTCGTCTTGAACCGAGGAATCTCGTTTGCTTCTATTTACCGATTTCTATCTTCGTTTGCTCGCAAGGGACTCAATCCCATATATATCTCTCTCTTTCAACACCATTTCTATTTACTTCGATCGGTTCTCTACATGTACACGAAACAAAACATCACAATGGTTGGTCGGTGTTGGCGTGGCGGCAAAATTTGGCCGTACAGATATCATAAATCGTAGCCGAATACCGTTTTCTTGGCTTGGTTTCTCCCCCGCGGGAACAACCGCGACGATAAATCATCGCGGCTTGCCACCTCGATCGCGAGATCGCGTTTCGTGCCACTCCATAGAAAACGCGCGTGGCGAGAACTCTTGATTTCTTTCTTTCGCGCGATTTCTCTCCTTCGTGAGGCAACGCGACGCGCCGCGACGCGCCGCGACGCCGCCAAAGGGGGACTAAAAGGGCGAGCAACGGCGGAGGGTGCAACGCCTGCGCGACGCTGACTCTCTACACTTGTGTGCGTGTTGGCGGGGGTGCCGTACGGGTGCCATAGAGATGTCGTAGGGGTGTCGTAGGGGTGCCGTAGGGGTGCCGTTGGTGCCGACGATGAATGAGTCGTCCGGGGCTACTCGCATCAGTGTCGCGCGAAACAGCGAACCTCAACGTCGCGACGCTGTCTCGCGTGTAAATGCCACAGCATTGCTACGTATCGAGAAGCAAACATTTTGTGCAAATTGCGATTCATCATCTTCATATCTTTTTGTTCGATGAACGCGAAATTTGAAATAGAATCCTACGATTTCTAAGAACTCTAAAATATATATCGGTTTAATGTCTTTAAGAAAGGTATAATAAATTGCATTCATCAATTGTCAATTATATATTTATTTCACAAATATATTTATTTCACGAATCTTCGGACCTTGATCTATTCGGATTTATAGTTACGATTCTTCGAAATTAAAAAAATAAGTCTAATTGTTTACCACGAGAGTATCAACTGCATTCATCATGTGTTAATTAATTGCATTAAAATCTTTCGCTGATAAATAAAAGTTGCGGACTTTGTTACTGATTTATCAATACGATTCCAGTCAGAATTAAGGAAAAATCATATGAATTAAGTAAGCAAAAACTTTGTTGCTTTGTTAGATAAATACAAAATTATCGATTATTTTATATATTACATCATCCCTTTTAATCAATAAATACAAACTTTGATTACTTATTTATTTGTTAATAGTTTATTTATTTATATAAACTCTTTTAAAACGTGCTTCAATCTCTTTGCTACTTTTCGAAAATAATCTTAATATCGTAATCATATTTTTGATCTTATAAATATTAATCATTTTTTAGATGCGTAAAATTTTTCTACAATCTCATACCTATATGTTTATTAAAACATTACGATAAATTTGTCTCATAGAAAATTAAAGTTTCGACAGAAAATTGAAGTTTTGACAGAAATAAACAATTCACAAGAAGCTTCACATGAGAAATGTGTCGATGTTACTGACTTTGATGTCAACGATATTCTGCAATAATGTAGAAGTTTTTAAAAAATGATTGAAAGTAACAAAAAAAAAGTTTCAGTATTTTCAAGAGTTTTGGATCATAAAAATGTCATATCAAACGTCACATTATTGAGTCTACAGATCATTCGTATAAAATGGAAGATGTCACGTATGTAATCTGTCGTTTCGACTTATGTGCCGCGATAAAATTATTCGTTACGAGTTTCCGGTGATTGCAAGGTCAACCACATTGGACATAAATTGCGTACAAGACAGACTTAAAGAATCCTTGTGTCCGAGAAAATAATCGTGTTCGAAGGACAATGCGCGAAACGGTATAATCTTACATTACGTTAATCCTTCCTTTTTGATGTTCCTTCTGATGTGCAACAAAAGTGTCTCTCGTGTAAAGTAAGAAGGAAAAAAAGAAACTGTAAAGAGAACAAAAAGAACAATCAACAATTGATGCAGGATTTGCACTATAATGATGACAATTCCGTTTAATAAGGAGCGCGATAACGACGTCGTTCTCTCGGTGTGATTATGGGAATAGATTTACACGGTGAATAAATTAAATCGTTACTGCAGTGCGCGTTAATGCAGCATACGCCAACGAAAACTTGACGCGATAATAAGACAGTCGAGGAGAGAAATGAGGAGATTTTAATCTTGAGCGCGGTATGCTCACCTTACTTTACCTGCCGCGCTATTTGTCGGCGGAAGAAATTCATTAACGTGGTTTCGTCCATCATTATTCCGCGCGTCGTCAGAGTGAAGTGCATCATTGTCAAATTAACAGGGGGACAGACCGGTGGTTTGCAAAACGCGTAAGAAACGAGACTGTAAGTGTCTCTCCCGTTTATGCGATCACGAAATTTTTTCCCGTCATGAGCATCTTGATGTACATTGCCCAAAACGAATACCAAGAGTCGTCGAGGGAGATTGCAAAGCAAAATGCCGTAATGGCACGTACGGAGATTGATTTTGTCGGTCCCGACACGATAAGGTAAGTAAAACTATTGAATAAATTGTAACTGAAATTACAATATATAATATATAATTTCGCGTCGAATCAGAATTGTTATCGTTTGTTTCATCTTCTACTGTTAAGTAATTTAAATCGATTCTTCTATTTATCTCTATATATAATTTGAAATCCCAACATTTATTAGAATATCATTTTCTTATAAATCAAATTTCCTGTACGTATTCTCTCTAGTAGGGAAATTATAAAGTGCATCTTTTAACTCGCCAATTTTCGAAGAATATCTTTTTAGAATGTAATATATACGTGTGTTACTTTTTCTAATTTACATACTCTAATATTTTGCTATTAGAATTTTGCTATTAGAAATTTTGCTTGAGAATCTGTCATTTTACATTTTACGATGTATATTATATCTCTAGATAAAAGCGCATATATAGAATTAATCAACACTAAATTAAACAGAAATATTAAACAGAAATATTAAACAGAAATATTAAACAGAAATATTAAAAATTTCTCCAATTATATTAAAAATTTTTCAAAATAAGAAAATTAATTTTTAATAAATTAACTTGTAAGCTACACACACTTACATACATACATACATATAGTAAAGGAAATAAAGATGATACAAGACAAAGATAATAAAGAAAGACAATTTATCGATAGGACAACAAAAATGATTTTTACTACTTACTATTTTTCTCGATTTTATTTATGTGTGTATTTATATGAGAATAAATCTGTAAAAATATTATCGCATATAAAAAAAAAATCTTCCACCTATAAAAAAAATGTTATTTTACGGAAAACGATTATGTCATAGGCAGACTACTTGCTCTTCCGATTTTGTAATATATATCTTATCTTTTTATCTTAGTTTTATTTCCGCAAAAGTTTTGAAGTACAGAAAATTGTATTTATTTTTAAAATTTGATTTTTCGAGCGAATATCTGTAAAGTTTCACTTATACAAATTGTTTTAATCAATAGTTTATCCTCTTTAACATTGATAATTTATATTGAACATTTACATGATAAATCGAACAATAAAATGTAATAATGAACAAAAATATAATATAAACAAAAACGTTCTCCTTCATAATTTTCTTTATTATATTATATTTTAATATAAATACGATCGCGTAAACGACTTTGTTATTTTTTTGTTGAAATTTCGGACACATGGCACTCGAAACATATTTAATTTGCAAGCAATAATTATTAAAATTTTATCTTT